AAGTTATACCACTTGGGATGACAATGCTCCCTGTAAGAGCAATACACTATCTAAAAAAAAAAAAATCAACAAAAAACAAAGAAACAAAACCAGTCCCAGGCATGAGAAACCTCCATCAGAGTTCATGGTCAGGGTTGTTCAAGTAACTCCCAATGCAATACAGACTATTGCTGCTACCCCCGCACCAGCTTGAACAAGCTCTGACATGCATTCTTTCCTTAGCCCTGTGTCACCCCAGTTTGAAAAGGACTCACAGAGCAAAGCCGTCTTCAGGACGAGCTTTACTGCCTTGGGTCCCTGACTTTGCTCGGTCCTTGGCTTGCGCTGACTTTATCATCCAGTTATCAGTTCAGAGACACTTCCATCTAGTAACTATTTTCTGGCAGTTTTGGTTACTTACTGTGGAATTCTTAGTGTCTAGTTGGTGATGTTGCTGGGAAAAGGTACACAAACTGAACCTATTCCTTATGCCTGGTCATTGCCCGGTCTTCTTCGCTTTATCTATCTGTGCACTTAGTAAAGGAAGACAGCAATTGTTTAAGATTGCAGAATCCTTTCTTTGTATTCATCCATCTGTCATATTCATCCTCATCCTTTCACACCTGAATTCTCCCATCTCAGTTGGCACCAACATTGTGTTTATTTATATCTATTGCTATCTGTAATCTCTACTTCTCTAATATCTTCTGACTATTGCTCATATTTTCTTTATGACTAATTTTCCTTACTCCTGCCAAAAGCGCCTAAATTATCTTTTGACAATGTCACAATCCCTCCTAAGTGTTTTCTGTAGGAAATTCCAAGGTCTGTAACGTGCCATAAAGATACACTTTACTGGACCTATGCCTCCCTCTCCAGTCTCTCCTCTCATGCAAAATTTATTCCCTGACTAATAAATTTCTCAAGAGTGTCTGCACATACCATGCTGTCATCACTACCCCACCCCACCCCGATTCCATTGTCTTTCTTGTATTCTCATGTTGGCAAGACATTTCCACTGCTGCTGATAAGAAAATAAGAGAACAAGATGGGGAAAGAGAGGTAAGAGGAGACAGTGGAAGCAGAGAAAGCCGGGCACCAAGGATTTGCCCCCTGTGGGAGGTCCGTGCAGGTTCTGCAGCTGGCACCATGTTCCTCTCTGATGATTTTCCAGAAGTGTTAACAAATTACAAACAAATCCTGGGGCAATAGGAGGGCTGAGCTCACTCAATGTCTCTCCTTTACTTCTGTGCATTCACTGAGTCCCTGTACACTGAACTGAGATTTGTACTCCCATGCATGAACATTTTGTGTTCTGGGTCTAGTAATTCTTCCTAGAATTAACAATCCTTCACTCTCTGCTTGTAATATATTTCTAAGTCTGTGTTTATCTTATCATTGAGACCTAATGATGCCAGAAAGTTGAATTTATGAGTTTTCTTAGAACAGTGAAAATCTCCCAGGATAGAGAATTGAGACATGTAAAATGAGTTCTTATTTGCTATGATTAATAAAAACACAGAGTCAGATATAGAGGAAAATGTTGAGATCAGAGAGAAGAAGGAGCAAGCCACACCTTATCTCCTTAGCGTCTCAGCAGACAATAGAGCTAGTTCCTGTTTCTCCCTACTTATGTTCTGTTTCTGCCCAGCAATCTCACTTCCTGTCTGTCTGTACAGACCTCCAGACCTCTATGGTTAGTGGCAAGATCCATTCTCTGACCTTCAGACAGGCTTTATTTGAACAAGAAAGATATCACCACAATGACATTGGTTACGGAGTCCCATGAGGATATCTATGTTCCTGCCCCCATATGTTGAAGAGGGGGGTGGAAATGGGAGCATGGATCTGATGGTTGTTAACATAGTGATTCAAATGTACAAAGTCATTCCTGCTAATGAGAAGCCAAGAATATGCCTGGCTAATGAGGGTTTCCCATCAGAACAGACAAGATGAAGGAGATTAAAAGTCTAAAAGGCAGTAAGGGCTAGATTTGATGTGCAGGAGGAATGTGAGGCATCAAAAAGTGGAACATTTAGAAGAGAAAGTGGGAGATACTCTTCAACGAGTTGGTACAGGAGACCACTTCCTAAACACAACACCAGTGGCACAGACACTGAGATCGACAATTAACAAATGGGACCTCCTGAAACTAAAAAGCTTCTGTAAGGCAAAGGACACAGTCAACAAGACAAAAAGGCAGGCCACAGAATGGGAAAAGATATTCACTAACCCTACATCTGACAGAGGTCTAATCTCCAAAATTTACAAAGAACTCAAGAAACAAGTCTCCAAAACACCAAAGGATCCAATTAAAAGGTAGGGTACAGAACTAAATAGAGAATTCTCAATAGAGGAGGCTAAAATGGCCAAGAGACACTTAAGAAAGTGCTCAACATCCTTAGCCATCAGGGAAATGCAAATCAAAACAACTCTGAGATACCATCTTACTCCTGTCAGAATGGCTAAAATCAAAAACACCAAAGACAATTTATGCTGGAGAGGATGTGGAGAGAGGGGAACACTACTCTACTGCTGGTGGGAGTGCCAACTCGTACAGCCTCTTTGGAAATCAGTATGGAGATTCCTCAGAAAAATGGGAATCAATCTACCACAAGACCCAGCAATTCCACTCTTAGGCATATATCCAAAGGAGGCAAATTCATACAACAAGGGCATCTGCTCCACTATGTTCATAGCAGCATTATTTGTAATAGCCAGAACCTGGAAGCAACCTAGATGCCCCTCAACTGAAGAGTGGATAGAGAAAATGTGGTTCATTTACACAATGGAGTATTACTCAGCAGAAAAAAACAATGGAATCTTGAAATTCACAGGTAAATGGATAGCACTGGAAGAAACCGTCCTGAGTGAGATAACCCAGTCACAAAAAGACAAACATGGTATGTACTCACTCATATATGGATTTTAGACATGGATCAGGATAGTGCCAGTCTGCACTTCCACTGATAGAGAGTCTGGGAAACAGGAAAGAACCTAAAACATATGCATATATGCATAGTACCCAAGAGAAGAGGATTGAGACAAGATCCTCTGAATGGATGGGGAACACGGCGAGGGCTGGGGGGGAGTGGGAGCTGGGAAGAAGAGAGGGGGAGAAGAGGAAGAGAAAGTAGGTCATGGGGGAACAGGAAGTTGAGTGGGTGGGGGTACAATAGGGGGAAGAGGGAATCATAGGTTAGAAGACAGATCAGGCACCAGAGTGACCTCTAGTGATCTAAAGGGATAACACCAATTGGCAAGCTAAGCAATAGTAGAGAGACCACCTCGAATGCCCATTCCTGATAATGAACTTGATGTCTATAACCATCCGGGAGCCTTCATCCAGTGATTGATGGAAGCAGAGGCAAACACACAATTAAGCACTGAACTGAACCCGAGGAACCCAGTGACAGAGAGAGAGGAGTGATGAGCAAATTGGCAAAGAATGGGCTGACAAAACCAGCAGAGACAGCTGATCTGAACAGGGGAGAACCCTTGGACCCCAGACCGACAGCGGGGAGGCCAGCATGAGACTGATCTGGACCCCCCAAATGTGAGTGTCAGTGAGAAGGCCTGGGCAACCTATGGGGCCCTGAACAGTGGATCAGTGTCTATCCCTGGAATACAAACAGTCATCGTGTGCCCATAGCGCAAAGAGGGATGCTCTCTCAGCCTGGACTCTTAGGGGAGTGCCTGGACCCTACCCTGAGTGAAATGACAGACTCTAGATATCCCCTCTGTGGAAGGAATTGGCAATAGGGTGGGAGGATGGGGGGGAAGGGGAGTGAGGGAGGAGGGGAGGGAGCGGGAACTGGGATTGACATGTAAAACAAGCTGTTTAAAATTAAAATAAAAATGATAAAAGAAAAAAATTAACATCTGCACATGAAAAAAAGCAGTAGGAAGGGCCAGCTGTCCAGCTCAAGTCCAAAGACAGGGCATATGGCCATAGGAATTCTCTTCCTCGGCAGAGAATAATTGTTTTAAGTTCTTTACCCAACTAGATAGGGCCTACTCCAACAGTGGGGAGTCCATATTGTTGGCCTAAGTGCTTGAATGTGACTCTCTACTTTAAAGTTACCATAGAAATACCCTAGAATACACAAATGTCTGGGTACTCCATGCCCCAGGCAAATGAGCACATAAATTTTGACACCCATAGTCCCTTTTGAATTTGTTTCCTAAGAAGCAATAGAATTTATCATTTTCAAAATATTAGTAACTTAATAAAAATAAAAATTGGCTAAGGAATTGAATGGAAACTTCTTCAAATGAGATGAGATAACAAAGAGCAAATAGACATCCATAAGGATGGCCAGTCCACGAGTCAATAAGGAAATGTAGAATGTATCACAATGCAACAGCTTCACAGTCACTAGATGACTATCAAGATTTAAAGACTGAAGCAGCTATTGGCAAGTAATGGGCACTTGGGGAGAGAGCATCATTCTTCTTGAGGTATTGCCACTAGTGTCCATGTTCCAGTGAATGATCCCACACCCATGGGCATGTAAGAAACCCTAATTAAACCTAGTTGGTAACTTAGGAAAAATAGAGATGCAAGTAATACAGGAGCATGTTGGGAAGAATGAAGAATCTATATGTATTGAGAAAGTAATAAAAGAGGGTAAGAGGGATGAATGTGGCCAAAATACGTTATATGTATGTATGAAATTGACAAAAAGAAATAAAAATATTTCAGTGTTCTAATTGAAAAAATGTGGAATATAGACTGCACAATCTAGGATTCAGGGATAAATAAGGAAGGCTAAAACTGTACAGAAATAAACAGAATCACTTTTGTTCCTCAAACAGAGAGTTGCATGTATGTGTGTCTTTCTGGGGGAAGGAGATGACAATTTAGCTAACTTTCTCTGTTGAAAAGTAATATAATTGATGACTATTGCTTTGGTTTTTCTATGTCAGTGTCTAGGTTTATGCTGTATCAGGATTAATGATCAATTTGTGAAAGCCTTTTAATTATGTTGCTCTGTATAATTGTCCTTGAATGCCCACAGGAAAAGGTCACAAAAATCAAACATCAATGCCACATAAGAATGAAACCCAGGATGTTCTCTCAGGGGTAGCTCAAACAGTAACTGCTGTGGATTCCCACACTGGCACCTGGTTTACAACAACACCTGATGGAAATCGGATTGGCACCAAAGGACTAGAGAAAATTGAAGACTTGAAACCATTTTTATCCTTCCAGGCAACAGATCCCATCAATGGAACGGTATGACAAACTACTGCTGCACACAAAACTGTCTAAACCGTTAGAGTCCTGAACAACTTGTAGAAAAATGTGTGGCAATTTCTAACTTTCAAATACTTGTTAGATAGTAGGTGGGTGGGTAGGTATTCAGGTAAGAAGGTAGGTAGGCAGATAGATGAATGGATGGGTGAGCACATTGTCCCCAATCTAAAATCATTGTGTAGAGTAGTGGAAAGTATACACTTTTCTGAAGAGTGTGTGTGTATGTGTGAGTGTGTGTATGAAATAGTGTTAGAACAGAATATTAACTTTTGAAGTGAGGTTCAGATCATGGATTCGATTTTTTTGTTCTTTCTCTTTTCTTTCATTTATTTATTTAAATAATTAATTTTTGTTGTTGTTGCTATTGAGACAGTCTTGCTGTATAACCCAGGCTGGCTTTTATCTTGAACCCCTGTGTTAGCCTCTGTAGTGCATTACAATGTGGACTAGCTCATGAATTTTTTATACTACTCAAAGATAAATGTGATTAATGTCACATGTCTCCTGTTAGATTTTTATGCCTCTTTTATCTATGGGAATGGGAAGCTATAGATCCTTGTCCTATTTCTCTATGGCCCTCTGCAGCAAGTGATAAAAATTTGTTCATGACCTCTGCCTTCAAAGAATCACACATTGCACAACTGAAACACTCTACATCAATGAGCAACTGTGCAGGGGATGTTGTTCGACTGTAAGGGCAAGTAGCAAACAAACGTCATAAAAGCAACCATCCCACCATCAGTGGTGCTGGAATTTGAACTATAACAGTTTGTTTTCAAAGCTCATACTCTCAGTTAGCTCATCATACAGCTGTATTTCTCATTATGCATTCCTGACTGAGACTATCAACGATACAATGAGAACCTAAAATAGTGCCCAACATACATTTCTCTCCTAAGTTAAAATGTCTGCCTACCATGATTATATATGACAGTAACCTGTTCCTAGAAGGCCTAGAAAATCCTAGAGAATATATTCTCACATACAGACCACTGATCAAAACCCTGTGTCCCCTATATTTAGGACAGTGTACGTCTAGAAAATTGAGAGTGCCTAATTATCGGATACGCATTATATAATCTATAGAACTCTATCTACAAGTTGGAATATCCAAACAAATGCTGAGATGGAGTTTGAGGCATATAATATTCTTAGGGATGCCATGTCTTCAAAGAAGGGGGGAGGAAATGATTGAAGTACAGATAAGCAATGACCTCACAGGCAAGGTCTACTTGTCCTGATGTCTCAAGTCTGGGAAGAGTGACTAGACCCATTTGGTGTCAGGAAACAGCTACCCCAAAGCAGGATAAGTTTAAGACAAAGTACCTGTCTTCTAGAGAGGCAAGTGTTAAGTGAGTCAAGTACTGGCTTTGGTTTGCTAACTACACTCCCATGTTGGGAGTCTTCTCTTGAAGAGAGTTCTGAACCACATAACACAGCTCCCATCACTCCATGCATGACACATGCACAGAGCTTGGGAACTTTACCAGTGTTTTAGACCATGCAGGTTGCTATAACAAAATGCCAGAGCATGAGAAGTTTATGAACATCATGAAATTTATTTTTGGAAGCTCTTAAGGCTAGACATTTCAAATGAGAATGAATAACCTCCATGACCTGAGCACCTAATTCTAGGTTGTAGACTGGTTTCACTGGAGCCTTGCACAATGGAAAGAGGTTGTTCTCTGGGGTACCTTTTATAAAATTTCCAATCTAATTCTAGCCTCATGAGCATGCCATTTCCCAAAAGCCACAGTTCAGCCCCCAAGACACAGTCAGTTCATAACAGCTGGTCAGTGATTAGCTACAGTCTACTGAGTTCTGATTGTTCTTTCAAATGGAAGCGACTGCCAGGATTAGTTGACCATTTCATGATTCCTACCCTAGTCTTTGTATCTAAAACCTCTCTGTGGTGTTCATTCCACTTAGGATAAAGTATGAAGTCTCTCCCACTTAGTTTTTAGCCTCCCAGACTCCGAACATCTCTCCATTCCTCTTTGTCTCTCCATATGCTTTGATCAAACCACAACTCTTCTCAAGTTCAGCACCATTACCTTAGTCAGAGAACCAAGCCAAGGAAAGCACCCACTGCAGAACCCAGCAACCCTGAAATGTCATCCTACCAGTGACCCCCATGCTATAAAGTAAGGAATTCTATGCCAGTTCACCATACTACCCACCATAGTTCACACCCTGCATTCAGCACTCTGTAAATTATTTATTTTAAGCTGAGCTGGAATAAGCCTGACAGGTGAAGGGATATTGACCTGTTGTCTTTCTGTCTGAGGTCATTCACTCAGCCATTTCCCTTCTGTGTTGGTTAATCTTCATGGTCAACTAGACCAGATTTGAAATCACCTAAGCCATGCACCTCTAGGCATGGCTTGAGGGCAAGCATGAGCTGGATGTCCAGACCGGTTTGTGCTGAGGAGAGAGGAACAAGCCAACCTGATAAACATTATCACTCATCTGCTCTACTTCCTACTACAGACACAGCGCCATCAGCTTGTGCTCCCACTGCCATGCCTGCCCTGCTATTACAGAAGGTTTCCTGTCAAGCATGAACCCAAATAAGCTTCCTATCTTAAGTTACTTCTTGATGTTACTAATGCTCTGCCCAGACCCTCTCAATTTCATATAGGAAGATAATCCACTAGAACCTGTGTTCAAACTAACATAACAGAAGAGTCTTTCACTATGATTAAATTTACTCAGCTTTAAAGAAAGATTCAGAACAGGAAGAAAGATTCAGAACAGGAAGTACAGTATGCCATCCTCATAAGCTAGGATACTAACAGCAACCTGAACCCCTCAAGTTCATAGACAGCACGCATGGCAAGCAAACAAAAGTCTATGTAGATTTGGGTCACCATTGCAGACAAATAAGTCTATGCCATGTGGGTTACCTTGGCTAGAAGGAGCTGCAGCCTCTCCTCCACAGTCTCCATTACTGTACTGATAGCCAACTTTCAGTTCACCCTATCCAGGGTGGTCTTCCCGAGCAGGGGCTTCACAAAACAAGGGCAGCCTACATGCGCCACATTTATCTTATCTCAATACTTTCCAAAGAAACAGATCCTGTGAACTGTATCCCAGACTGGCCTCTATCCACCCAGTCCTGAGTATCTATCTTTTATATATGGAAATGTTCCCTGTGCTTGATTCTTGAGTGACTTTGACATTTTTTTCTTAACTTCTGTAAGTCCAAGTTTCCTCCTCTATACAGTGGGAGTCCTATCTATCTCAGAAATCAACAGAAACTTCACTTTCACTAAGCATAGAAATAAGTTTGCTGGTGTCTAACCAGCTGGTGCAATGGTTATGCTTCACAACTCACATTCAGGTCATGACTACTCGAGAAGACAAGGTGATCATTGTTGAGAAGAAGGATGGAACCCGGATCGTGGATCATGCTGATGGTACCAGAATCACAACTTTTTATCAGGTTTATGAAGATCATATTCCTCCAGATGATGAAGAGACAAGTGAGTTTGATTTTTCAAGACAGTAACAACAGAATTTTATAACTCTTTAGCATAAAACAAGTAGAAAGCTCATTATCAAAAGCATTCATAAAAACAAGTGAGCCAACCAGAGAATACCCATGCAGTCCAAAGAGGGCCCTTTGGTCCCCATTGTTATGATGATTGCGGTGATCTTGATGTTTACTTTGGAGTCTTCATTTAGTTGTAAAAATTGTACCTCTTTATCATACTCAACATATTTTGAAGTATTTTTATGTTGTGCAATAGTCAAGCAAGCAACCTCACACACTTAAAACTTACTCTCACTGCTTTTCAAATGTTACATATTATTATAATTACTTTAGTTATGCCCTTCAAGATATCTTGAAGCTGTTTTTCCTCTGTAATTGAAACTTTATAACATTTGACTAGCATCTTTCCAACTCCCACAACTAGTAACTACCATTTTATTCTCCACTTCCTTGAATTCAATTTTTTAAAATTCTCTCTCTCTCTCTCTCTCTCTCTCTCTCTCTCTCTCTCTCTCTCTCTCTCTCTCTCTCTCTCTCTCTCTCTCTCTCTCTCTCTCTCTCTCTTTCTTTGTGTCTGTGTGTGTATGTGTGTGTATGTGTGCATGTGGTGTGATGTGTGTCATGTGCGTGTGATGTGTGGTGTGTATATGAGTGTGTGTGTGAGAGACATGCATGTGTGTGACTGCAGTATTTGTCTTCCTAGTCCTGTCTTACTCAACATAATATCCTCCAGTTTCATCACAAACAACAGGATTTCCTTTTGTCACACATTTTTTTCAGTCATAATGGATATTTGATTGCTTCTTAAGCTTGGGTGTTGCAAATCATGGCTGCAGTAAGCAGGGAGTACATTAGTACCTTTTATTGTGCTCTTTGTCCCCAGTAGAGACAGGAATTGTCACAGCTGTAATTGGCTGATCAATAAAAACCTAGAGCCAAAATTGGCAACTAAAAGCTAATAATCATGACTCATCCATTCTTGATGCTGACTCCAAGATCTGTGTCCTTCAATCCTTAGCATATCCCATTTGATAAACAGGTGAGTGCAGACATGTCTTCCTTCACAGCTGAGCGTCTCATTGTCAGAAAAATATGGATGAAAAAGAAAGCCACAGCTGCTATTAATTGGAGCCAACTCAAAGAATCTGGGAGGGAACCTCTAAGCCTAGCCTAAACTTAAGTAGTGTTTATAAACATAAGTTATTACCAGGCTCTTTCTCTTTAATGCCTGTGGGATTTTCTTTAGGGTATATTTAAGGTATACAGTGTCAGTGTTTTAATATGTGCTTATATAGTTGTGGTGGTTGAAAGAAAATGCCCCCCAAAGGGAGTTGACACTATTAGGAGGTGTGTCTTTATTGGAGTAGGAATGGCCTTGTTGGCTAAGTGTGTCACTGTGGGAACAGGTTTTGAGGTCTCTTTTGCTCAAGATACCACTGAGCATTTCAATCTATTTCCTATTGCCTTCTGATCAAGGAATAGACAGCACCATGTCTGCCTGCATGCTACCATGCTCCTGCCATGATGACAATGGATTAAACCTCTGAAACTGTAAGCAACTCACCTTAGTTAAATGTTTTCCTTTTATAAGAGTTGCTCTGGTCATGGTGTCTCTTCACAGCAATAGAAACCCTAACTTAAGACAGACATTGGTACCAGGAGTGGGGTATTGCTGTGATAGGTCCGACCATGTTTTTGTTTGGAAGAATTTTCACTGTGGTGCTTTGGGTTATAAAAGCAGTGGAATATTTTAAGGAGTGCTTAATGGACCATACTAGTAGGAGCATGGAAGACAGTGGTGCTAAGTGTTATTTGAACTGTCAGGAGCTCACTCAAGGGCTTTCAAAGGAGAAGAATTTTAGTAAGTTGCCTAGAGATCATTCTTGTGATATTTGGATAAAGAAAATGTCTGCCTTTTGCCCTTTTCATAAGGTCCTGAGTTCAATTCCCAGTAACCACATGGTGGCTCACAACCATCTGTAATGAGATCTGGTGCCTTCTTCTGATGTGCAGGCAGGACACTGTATACATAATAAATAAATCTTTAAAAAAAAAGAGAGAGAGAGAGACTGTTTCAAGTCTCAGGAGAGACTTTGGACTTTTAAACAAGTTTGAGACTGTTAGACTGTTATAGACTGTGGGGACATTTGAAGTTGGACTGCATGCATTTTTACATTATGACATGGCTACAAGCCTTTGGGGACCAAGGGGTGGAATTTGGTGGTTTGAAAGAAAATGCCCCCAAAGGCAGTGGCACTATCAGGAGGCATGTTTTTGTTGGAGTAGGTATGGCTTTGTTGGAGGAAGTGTGTCACTGTGGAGACAGGTTTTGAGGTCTCTTTTTGCTCAAGATATCACCGAGTGTTTCAGTGTATTTCCTGTTAGCTTCTGATCAAGATGTAGGCAGTACCATGTATGCCTGAATACTGCCATGTTTTCTGCTAGTGAAAATGGACTGAACCTCTGACACTGTAAGCAAGTCACCCAATTAAATGTTTTTCTTTATTAGAGTTGCTGTGGTCATGGTGTCTCTTCACAGTGATAGAAACCGTAACTAAGACAATAGTTAAATGGTCTCTCCAATCAGGAAAATTAATAACTCTGTCACCTTATAGTATTAACTTGTGACAGTAAGAACACCTAAAAGCTACCTTTTTTGGAATATCTGTGTTGTGTAATGCAATATTATTATAGTAGATCTTGCCAATCTTGCCTAAGAGATCCTCACTTCCCCACCCCTCCCTGTAACGTGTATATCATATAAAATGTTAACTTTGAGCTTTTATTATGGTTTGATATAATAGCTTGGTGAAACAGACACACGGGTGCTATTTTCAACAGCACACCGTTGAAATATTGGGTAAGATATAAATGCCCATCACTGATAAAATGTGCTATATGCCTAAAAGGGTCACTATTTCATGAGGAACTACATTTGTACACTAATTACAAATGTAAGCACACATACACACAAACACATTCATACACACACTAAATATATACTAAAAAATCCCACACTTAATTCAAGCACACATACTTAATACAAATACACTGTATATAAGCATATTACATATAAAAACACCTGGAGTACACACGCATGTGTGCACACACACACACACACACATTTCTGGAGACTCCAAGTTTGGTAACACAGACCTGTCACTGGGAGGACCAAGAGGTCAAAACCATATTGTACTACATAATGAAACCCTCTCTCAAAACTAAAATTTGTTAGAGACCTCAAAACAATGTTGGAAAAATGACAGATATAAAATGATACAGTAATTATATAATTTGACAGTTTTGTATGCAATTTATATAAATTTAAAGTACTTAAATCTCATGTGTTTTCATTCTTAACACATATTTACTTAAAGATATAAAAATGACTTGGAACAAAGAATAACCTAGGCATAGGGGAAACTTCAACTTTACCTGCAATTTTCTTCATATGCATTTGAAGCAACATGACAAAATAAGTCATGTTGACAAGTGTCAATTTTCATTGGTAGATATATTTTATGAATTTCAGCTTTTGATTTGCAAAATTAAATGTTTCTCCTTCCAAAAAAAAAAGAATGCTAACCACATACTTAACAAGACAGTATGCCGAATCATATATGAAGGTAGATTCTGAGCTATTCTGAATTGACAAGGATTGCAGGCCATACTCCAACCCTATGGATAGCACCCGGTTTTTTTTTTCCATGAGGAATCCACACAGCCAGGAGACAGTCTGAAGATGATTGTCCACTGTATGCACTATACCTAATATCCTTACCTTGTATTTTACTTCTAGCCGAAGGTCCAAGGACTGTCACTAGACAGGTGAAGTGTATGCGAATAGAAAGCTCACACTATGCCACTGTTATCACCAACTGTGAGGACAGTAGCTGCTGCGCCACCTTTGGGGATGGAACATCTATTATTGCAAAACCACAGGGATCGTACCAGGTAGGTTGAGTTGGGAAATGGGGACTGACAAATGTAAGTGTCCTATTGTTAACAGAACACACTCTGCAGGGACAATGGGAATTTCTGCAATGGCACCAGCTGTTGTTTTCAGCACTCACCTGATCTTAGAAGACCCTTCTCACACTTTGGTCTTTTCATATTTTCAATCCATTCTAGAAATACATTGTCTCGCCTGTTGTGGGAAGTTGGTAGCACTGCGTCAAATTTAAGCTAAGAAGACCTCCATGCTGTGCACTGTGGGGGTAGAATCACTCCAATGATCTGATGAACGCCTAACTGTCTCTCTCCATCTTCTGCCACCTCTTGGCTCTATTCCGCCCCTACCACTACAGCAGAACTGAGGGAACAGGAAGTCTGTTTGGAACTGGAAGGGCAGTTTGCTTTCAGAAGTAAAAGAAGAACATGGCAACACACCCTTCTCCAATCTCCCTGATCTTCCTAGTAAACAGAACATGCTGGTGTCAGCACAGAGTGCCTTTAGTCTCTGAAAGATCCCCCCTTTCTTTGTTAGAGAAGGGTCACACACCCTGTTAAAAGAGGCTGAGAACTGAAAGCCGGAATGCGATGGACACATGGTCATCACTGTAACAGTAGCTGAAATGGTGTATCCTTTCCATCTCCCTACTCATTATATTTTCTCTCTTCATCCATTGTAGATTGTTATGGGGCAGAATAAGTGCTCAAAGTGAGGGATGAAAGGAAGTTTAAGTGTGAATGTTCATTAGCAATGACATCTAAAGCATAAGTTATGTTTTTTTAAAAAGGAGACTTAATTCACTTCATTATTCTGGTATAAAAAGCCTTTATGGTAGTCACAGCTGGAGCCTGGGACCTTTGAATGGACACCCAGTGTGGGGTTTCACAACATGGCCAGTGAATTCCTGATAAGAAGACTTGGTAACTACAGTCTCTTTCCAGAGGTCAGGAGTTAGGAAGCTGTGTCCTCTTGAAGATGACACCAAAGGTTGCCTTGGCTAAAGGGCAATCAGAAGCGTCAGTTCCCCAAATTCCCCTCTTCCAAGAGCTGTCAGACTCATAGGAACAGACGAGTCCTTTTGGGCCTGTCTGCGATTCATGAGTAAGGCCTTCCCCTCTCTCCATTAAAAAACATTTCTTAGTAATTTTTTTTTGTCTTGGAAACATCTTTCAAATCCCTCAAATTTCACAAGAAATTTTAAAGTCTTTTTTCTTTCTCCTTCTAGGTGTTACCCCCAAACACAGGCTGCCTCTATATCAATAGAGACTGCTCAGCCACGTACTGCCATGAATCTAGCAGTAATATCTACCACCCCTTCCAGAAGCGTGAGCAGCTGAGAGCCAGTAGATACATCATGAAACACACCTCAGAGGTGATCTGTGAGGTCCTGGATCCTGAGGGGAACACCTTTCAGGTAAGGTACAGGGTCCTTGTAGAGAGCCTGGACTTCCATCTTAGTTAGGGCTTTATTGTTGAGAAGAGACACCTTGGCAACTCTTACTAAAGGAAAACATTGAATTTTGACTGGCTTACACTTCAGAGGGTTAGGGCATTATCGTCATGGCAGGAAGGATGGCAGCACATGGGTAGATAGAGGGCTGGAGAGGTAACTGAGAATTCTACATCCAAAGCAGCAGGCAACAGGAAGAGAGAATGAGCCACTGAGCCTTGCTTAAACTTCTGAAACCTCAAAGCCCACCTCTAGCAGTACCCTTCCTCCAGTAAGGCTACACCTGCTCCAACAAGACCACATATCCTAATCCTTTCAAATAACACCACTCCCAATGAGCCTGCGGGGGCCATTTTCATTCAAAATACCCCATCCTGGTTTTGATATGTACTAGACAAGTTCCATATAGATTTTTGCATGTCCTGCATGAGGTCATTTGCTTGCCCTCTGCCAACCAATCATGAATGTCAATATCTTTTCTTGGATCCTCAAGTATACTTGTACAGGGAAGAACAGTCTTAATAATTTGGGCAAGAGAAATATTAACCCTAATAGAAAATTAGAGAAGTACAGAAAAAATAATGCAACCACAAACAAGGATGTAAGGATTAGGGTGAGAGCAAATGCAAGCATCCTACAATTTCATGACACTAGGGAAGTCTGTGGTGAGAAGTGCCTAGCAGGGCTGGTGATAGGTAGGAAGGGTCTAGAGAGGGCTTAGGCTGTGCTATGGAGATGCTCTCTTTTCTATTTGTCTCTTAGCACCATGATGGTCCCCTTTTCTTTGTCCAGGAATTGACAAACTGTGTCCCCCTACTTTATATAGGTTAGGACATCAGATATTTTGTCTTACATTTAAAATGCTTGAAAAGTCTAAAGGATATTTCATGACATATAAAGGTACACACAATTCAAATTTCAGTGGTGCCATGGAATCTGTTACTGTAAGGCAGGGATGTTCTTTTGTGTGTTCTCTCTGCTTCTGCTCAGAGGTAGATGAGCCGGGTATTTGCAAGAGGGAATGTATGACCTGCAGCTCCTCAAGTATTTACTTCTGGCCCTTGACCAAAAATTATTGCCTCCCCTTGCTCTAGGCATTTATCTTTTTTTCACAGTCCTGGCCCAACAGTGGAATTTTCTCCATTGACTAGTGGGTGTGAGGTTAGTTTTTAGATTTGAACTCAAACCACAGAATCTCTAATGTTTTAGTATGCAGACAAGTCGTAGTCCTGCTCATAGTTTTCTTTGCTAAGTAACTGAGACTCTTCACAGCATGAGCATGAATGGATAAATTTCTATCGACAATGACTAGCAATGACAATGACTAGCAATGGAAGCACAAAGCCAAAAAGCCCTTCCAGAGTGTCTGGGGTGTGCCTTGCCCAGCATATTCTGATACCCCCTAGGGCCCCATCACCTACAGCAGGCAGCCTGTGCCATGCTCCTTTCTGAAGGGATGCATGCCAGGTATAAACAACACTGTTAACTAGAATACGGCCCCTCATGTTCATCCTAAACCTATTTTCCCATATGCTCTACAGGGGAACTATAGCTCTGCACTTGAATCTCAGCTTTCACTATGCAAACATTCTTTCAATATTTCAAATCAGCACATTGCATGTGTTCTTTCCTTCAAGTTCAATTTCTCCATCCCTTGAACTAATACCAAGAGGATAAGATTTTGATTCTTCTCTCAATTCTGATCACTTTCTTCTAAATGTGTTACTGTTTGTTTGGCTGTCCATGTGCAGTTTATGAGTACAGCTGCACTGGTAGGGAACATCCACTTTTTTAATGAAATTCATATATAATATCAATTTGATGTAATTAAATATGCTTGGTTTTCTGATAATCCAAAACGAACACATGCTCACATTGGATGGGTGGTGATGTAGGCACTTTGGCATAATTCCCTTCAGTTTCTGTTATGTCTCATAGGTCATGGCAGATGGCTCTGTATCAACAATGTTACCTAAAAAGAAATTAGAAGATGACTTCAATGTGCAAACTGAGGGCTATGATAGTTTATCATCAGTTCATCTTGAAAAGAATCACATGCAAATCTATGGGGAACACGTTCCCAGGTAAAATGATACTAGCAACATTAGGATTTTATTCTCCATCCCAAATTCAAGAAGCATCTTTCCCGAGTATCTCAAATGTCCCGATTTTTACTTCTTCAAACAGGTTTTTTGTTATTTATGCTGACGGATCCGGCATGGAACTTCTCCGAGACAGTGACATAGAAGAATACTTGTCCTTGGCCTATGGAGAATCAACGACTGTGGTTCTCCAGGAACCAGTCCAGGAACACCCAGGTAGAGACTCCATGCTGCCTGCAACTACCTGTGTCCTCCAGGGACTCCTATCCTCTTGCTGTTCAGTCCCCTTTGCTCATTTTGCTACTCCAGCTGGCCATGTCACCTGTTTACATAGCTGCAGAAAGTAACAGTCATCTCAGTTTGTGTCTAAGAATTAACTTGTGTAAGCCAAGAATGAATGCCTCTCGCTGCCATAGCAGGCTTGTGCCTAGATTGAATTTGTGAGTTAATTCAATCCTGTTTAGAAACAGTATGAAAAAGTCCTTTTTATTTTCATATTTTAAGGTGATGTTTTGGCCAAACTGAATACAATAAGAAAATACATTTTACATATCAGTTAGAATACTAATCAGAGGTATATAACATATTGGTTGGGAATTTATATTATTTTCATCAATTTCAGAGAAATCATTGTATGAGATTAAATACACATACTTTGGTTGCTGATTATATAGAGAGGTTTCTGTGCTTCTTTAACCTTTTGTTTAGTGTATAGATTTTGAGTCTGCTTGTGAATATGATTGCATGTCTATGGTTGTATCTTTTAGCTTATCAGCATACATGTATACATTATACGTCTTGTTTTTCTGAATGTGAAAAATAGAAGGCTGCTCCTGGCTATGTGGTATATGCAAACAACTATGTAAGGTTGGTGGGCGTGATGATATGATAACTCCAGAACTAGGAGACCTCTGCAAGCTTGAGGTCAGCCTACACTACATACCAAGACTCTGACTCAGACAACTGAATCAAAAACTATAAGACAGCAAGAATCCTCAATGTATTTTTAATCAGTTAAGTAGCTTCGACTCAGCAGCCTATCCTATGCCAAACACCAGCTTAAACTTGGAGTACATAATGAGATAAAACAAACATAGACACTATTTCCTTAAAACTTACAATTTAATGAAAGAAATGGGTGTTAATTATATAACCACACAAATAACTGGGTAATTATAATTGTGTATAAGATCTATGAAGAATAGAAATATCTTTCAAAGAGAACTTCGAACAGAGAAACCTGGGGTTGTCTAGAAAGTTTCTCTGGAGATGCTTGAGACCCAAGAGCTTGTTAGTGCATTCAGGTGTGTGTGTAGAGGTGTGATTTCTTGGAGGAGAAAACACAAAGAATTACACTGAATTGAAAATGGGTAGGAGAAGACCAAACCTAGCTAAAGCATGTAAGATGTGGTCCAAGTAGAGGCAGGGGTGAACAAAGAAGACCCTGCTTTACTGTTTGAGCAAGGGAAAGTCAAAGAAGTTTCAGTCATGGATGAACATCACTGGCCAACCTGGATGTTAGGGTAGGTTCACTCCAGAGTATGACCTGCTAGAAAAACTAGCTGTTGCTTCAATGCAGGATGGGAAACCTCTGAGGCACATGACTAAATGTTGTATCTGTGGAGATGGCACAAGGTGGAGTCAAGGCAGCTTGTCAAATAATGATTGTTGAGGGACAGAAAGGCACTTGTGAATGCTTTTTGGATTAGAGTCCCTTTTCAGGTGTTGACTCATGGTCTCATCTTAGAGAGTAACGCCCTAAAGCATAAGCATTGTACCGGACTAAGGTTTTTGCGTAAAAGGCAGATTAGAAGTATTTATTGAGTTTTGTCCATGCCCGTTGAATTTGTCAGAATTGTTTTGGTAGAGAAATGACCTCTGGTAATTCTCTTTAATCCAGGCGCCTTGAGCATCACAGTCCTTCGCCCTTTTCATGAAGCATCGCCATGGCTAATGAAGAAGGAGTTAGACACCATCATTCCACCAAATCTCCAATCAAGGTCGTGGGAAAGTTTTCCTTCAGTTGAGGTATACGTTCCCTTCTGTAAAGTCACTATATCTACACTTCCATTCAGACTCAGTTTCTTCTTTTGTAGTTTTACATATTTACATCCTTCTATGAGGTAATAAATAAGCTCAAAAGTTTTAGATTTGGAGATTTTAATCTACTGTAGATATAGCAATAAACTTCTAGAGGACTATGCCTGGCTAACTAATTTCAGTTTTATTTTTCATTCTGCATTGTAAGCCTGGAACATTCCTATAATATCAAAACATCCCACTTGAATAACCTGTTACATTTCACCTATTAGGAACTTCCTGATACTATACCACTTTCTCTGTCATTTCTTAGCTATTAATTTTGAAACAAAATTAGGAGACTTTCACTCTCCCTATTTTTATTCATATATTAAAAATGCACAAATTAAGTAAAATGAGATACAGAGGATAAAGAATTTTGCAACTGCAATGTTAATAATAAATATTGTGGTTATAATCCTGCCATATAAGCAAAAATCCACCTTAATGTTTTTTAATGAAATAATAGTTTGTTGAAGCATCAGTAAATCCTGCATCTTGTAAAATTGTTATTATTTTTCCACAACCACTCTATGCAATATGTCTGATACATCATATGTTGTTCATTATGAAATACATGAAGACACTGAAATGTGAACATAGAGCATACTGCTGTTAAGTGAGGAGGATAATGTATCTGAGTTTTTACTTTCAGAATCCTACAGTTAATTTCTGCTATAACAAGAGCAGAGGTGATGAGCAAAGACCATCTATTTCTTTGTTTTAATTTGGTGACTCTAATCAAATTGATAAGTTGAAAGTGGCCATGATGTCTTGTCCTGAATCTTGGAACAGGTTATACTGGATCACAATATTCTTCTCTGAAAGTTGAAAATGTCAAAAAGCTTAAGTTACTACAGAATGATAAGACAAATATACCCTGTTCTGGATTAATGAAGATTATTCTCTTCAGCTGAAACTCTTATACTACAAACTGAAAGCCACTGGGTGGTTGTCACTGAACATTCTTTTTTAAAACAAAGTACGAAGGCAACAAACTACATCAGTCCTGATGGTCAATTGCTAGAGTGACAGAGATTTGAGCTCACTTTTAGGCACACATTTCTTCCCAAGAAACTACTCGAGGATTTTGGAGGTGAGTTTCATTTAGAGTGAGCTCAACGTTAGCCCAGACCCATGAAATGATTTAGCTCTCAGAATCTTCTTATATAAATTCACACAGAACCAGGAAGTTACAGACTGCTAACTCCAGATGTCTTAGGTGATCTGAGCATGCTAAACAAAGCATCATCTGTGTGACATGAATTAGACTGTTGCTGAATTACCATGTGCAGAATCACACAGCCTTCCTGAAAGGATACCCAGCAGGACACCATGTGAGATTGTTAACGGCACACATAAAGATGCAATTTTGCTCAAATGCATGAGGATGAGGATTTTTCCAGAACCATTTTGTCCCTCTCAGGTGGTACTGTACAATCTTCAACTTCTGCTGAAAGGACTGACTCTATACTTAGTCCTTCAGATGTTCATTGGGCAACTAAAAGCTAGGTAGTTTGGCACCTCTGCCTCCATTTTGCACATGTCTCCTTGTAAACTTGAATAGTGTTGCTGCTCAGCTCTTCATAAAGGCGTGGTAATCATTTGAAGATCTTTCATCTAAAACCAGCAGTCCTCCCCTTCAAGGCTAGAGGCATCCAAAGAGTGAGTAAGATATATCTGATTTGCAGAGACCCCATAATAAACAAATTGTCAGTCGCCGGGTTTTTACAACTGTCTTACCATAGTTAGCTTTAATTGTCAAATGGGCATAGTTTAGAGTCATTAGAAGAAAGCCTAGATCATGGAATTACCTAGATCAGCTGAGCCTTTTGGCATATCTGGAGACTACCTTGACTATTAATACATACAGGAGGTCTCAGCGCTCTCTAGGTGGCACCAATCCTAGGCAGGTGGCCCTAGACTATATAAGAAAGCTGTCAGCATGAGGCTGTGAATGAGCGAGGCAGAGGATGAGCCAGCAAGCAGCATTCCTCAGGTTCCTGCCTTGAGCTTCTGCCCTGATTTCCCTCAATGATAAACTGTGACCTGAAAGTTGAAAGCAAAGCAAATCTCTTCTCCCCATGTTGCTTTTGGATGGCATGAAGTTTTTGCTTGCTTGCCTGGTTAGTTTTAGGAAGTTTTTGGAAATAAATTCTGACTATGTAGATGAAGCTGGCCTTGAACTCATAAAGATCCATCTGCTTCTACCTCTGGGATGATGACGTTAAAGGTTTATGCCACCATGTCAAGTGATTTGTTTGTTTTATCCCAGCAACAGTACCTCTAAAAGCCTCTGGGCACTGTCCAAAGCCCAAAAGAATTAACACCTGACTTTCTGACTTATCCTTTGTTCTTAGTCATTGTCTCCTAAAGTCATCTTGAATCTCAGGTATAACTAAGAGTATAAACATCTTATGAAGAGAGCAAACTACTTCCCTACCCCATCCCAACCTACCTCTGACAGCAGCAGCCTTCTAATGGTCTAGAAAGCTCTGATCCTAAGGTGATGATCAGTCAGTTCATACTTGGATCAAGACTTTCTGAGTATGCATACATATTCATTGCTCGCCTTTTGTTTCTACCTTATATCACTTCCAAGATCTTTGTAGCTCCTTGAAAATGGGACTTAAGATGCTAGTCCCTGTGATTCTCAGTGTAGCCATACAGAATGATGAGTCTCCTTCCTAATTTACCATTACTTTTGTCATTTGGATTTGTGTGGGGATGACAGTCTTAGAATTCACCATCTCTATGAAGAGACACCATAACCACAGAGACTTTTATACAGTCAACAAGACAAAAAGGCAGTCCACAGAATGGGAAAAGTTATTCACTAAGCCCACATTTGACAGCGGGCTGATCTCTAAAATTTACAAAGATCTCAATAAGCAAGTCTCCAAAACACCAAATGATCCAATGAAAAAGTAGGGTACAAAACTAAATATAGAATTCTCAATAGGGGAGTCTAAAATGGCTGAGAGACACTTGAGAAAGTACTCAACATCCTTAGCCATCAGGGAAATGCAAATCAAAACAACTCTGAGATACCATCTTATTCCTGTCAGAATGGCTAAAATCAAAAACACCGAAGACAATTTATGCTGGAGAGGATGTGGAGAGAGGGGAACACTCCTCCACTGCTGGTGGGAGTGCCAACTCGTACACCCACTTTGGAAATCAGTATGGTGATTCCTCAGAAAAATGGGTATCAATCTACCACAAGACCCAGCAATTCCACTCTTAGGCATATATCCAAAAGATGCGAATTCATACAACAAGGACATCTGCTCCACTATGTTCATAGCAGCATTATTTGTAATAGCCAGGACCTGGAAGCAACCTAGATGCCCCTCAACTCAAGAGGGGATAGAGAAAATGTGGTACATTTACACAATGGAGTACTACTCAGCAGAAAAAAACAATGGAATCTTGAAATTCGCAGGTAAATGGATGGCACTAGAAGAAACCATCCTGAGTGAGGTAACCCAGTCACAAAAAGACAAACATGGTATGTACTCGCTCATATATGGATTTTACACATGGATCAGGATAGTGTCAGTCTGCACTTCCACTGACAGAAAGTCTGGGAAACAGGAAAGAACCTAAGAGAGATATATGCATGGTACCCCAGAGAAGAGGAATGAGGCAAGATCTTCTGAACAGATTAGGAACACGGCGAGAAGTAGGGCAGGGGAGTGGGAGCTGGGAAGAAGAGAGGGGGAGAAGAGGAGGAAGAGTAGGTCTTGGGGAAACAGGAAGGTTGAGTGGGGGATAGAATAGGAGGAGAACAGGATGAGAAATACCATAAAAGAGGGAGTTATAGGTTAGAAGACAGATCTGGCACCAGTGAGACCTCTAGTCATCTAAAGGGATGGCACCAACTGGCAAGCTAAGCAATAGAGGAGAGACTACCTTAAATGCCCATTCCTGATAATGAACTTGACGTCTACCTTATATACCATCCTAGAACCTTCATCCAGTGACTGATGGAAGCAGAGGCAAACACCCACAGTTAAAAACTCAACTGAACCCAGTGACAGAGAGAGAGGAGCGATGAGCAAATTGGCAAAGAATGGGCTGGCAAAACCAGCAGAGACAGCTGATCTGAACAAGGGGGGAGCTCTTGGACCCCAGACCGACAGCTGGGAGGCCAGCATGGGACTGATCCAGACCCCCTGAGTGTGAGAGTCAGTGAGGAGGCCTGGGCAATCTATGGAGCCCTGATCAGTATTTATCCCTGGCATACAAAAGGACTTTGTGTATCCATAACACAAAGAGGGATGCTCTCTCAGCCTGGACTCTTAGGGGGAGTGCCTGGACCCTGCACTGAGTGAAATGACAGACTCTGGATATCCCCTATGTGGAAGGAAGTGGGGATAGGGTGGGAGGCTGGGGGTGGCGGTGGGTGGGTGCGGGAGGAGGGGAGGGAGAGGGAACTGGGATTGACATGTGAAGTAAATAAAATAAAATAAATCCATTGCTGCACTATTCTGACCTCTTCTTGCACTTTGCTCTGCTGACAGAAAAAGACTCCAGGACCTCCATTTGGCACTCAGATTTGGAAAGGCCTCTGTATTGGGTCTAAGCAGCTGACAAATGTCCCGGCTCCTATACTCAAAGACCCCAAGGTGCTACAGATGCGTCAGTTCATCCAGCATGAGGTCATAAAGAGTGAGGTGAAATTAAGGCTGCAGATTTCCCTTAAGGTAACAGAATCTGAGTGGCGTGACTCCCCCACCCCCAAAGGATTGTGAATAAAGCAAATCATTCCTATCCATTTTCAAAATCATCTAGTTTTAGCAATATTTAGAATAACACTTGAATATCGGTCACCCAGAATAGAAGATTAAAAGGTAAGGATTCTTAATGATTCCTATATTAAGTTGTAGGAATCATTAAGAGGCCTAAAAAGTGTTGTTATAGTTTAAAAATAAACCTTTTATGTATAATTTCTATATAGTCTTCTTTCTTTCCTATCATAGGGAAAACTAATGCCCTCTGGAGAAAATGTAGAACCATATATTAATCAGATACTTTTTCATGGATGAAAACAGTTACTGCTTTGAAATGGCCTAAGACTTTATAAATATCTGTCTTATTATGTGATCATATTATAGTATCTAAGTTTAACTCCCTCAACATGGACATTATATGCTTTTTAAGGTTATAAGCTCACAAGCTAGCATTGAGAAGTGGATAAGTATTGACAGATGTTAATCAAATACCCATGGGAAGGGAATATATTTTCTCTAAAAGCAAAGGCATGGACTAAGTAAATTACATCCATAGGAACCATAGAGACAATACTGAGAGACCTCGGAAGCATCTACCTGAGTATATTCATTTCAGTGAGAAGGAGGCTGACCCACAGTGTTAGAAGCAGGGCCCTCCAAGGTCCTCATGCAGTTCTCTCATGTGACTTTAAAGCTTTACTTGTGGGCAGAGAAGGGCTTTCCTTATCACTACTAACCTACTGAGAAAACATTTTCCCAGTGCTTCATGAGTTAACTGTTAGGGAAGAAGTGTGAACTTACCTCCTGTCCTTTTGTGATGTTCCAAGTTGACATTGACTGTGTTGGTCTCTTTCTCTGCCTAGTTCTTGATTTTTTACCCATTCGTTTAACTGTCCCAATCCAGGATTATATAAACCATATTCTAAAGAAAGAAGATGAGCTACAAGAAATGACAGTCAAGGATTCCAGAACTGAGGAAGAAAGAGGCAATGCTGCAGATCTCCTCAAGCTGGTTATGGTGAGAGAATGTCCTCCAGAGCAGTGTTCTTGTTACTGTCTCACTGTCCAGGGCTTCCAGACAGAATGCACCCGGAATAGCCACATGAGATGCTTGACAAGGCTCAGAAGCACTAACTCCATCCTCATCATGGCTTATTTCTGTGATAACTGGATTATGGATTTATTGACTTTTCCAAATAAATATTCCTTTGGCTCACAGATAATCCAGAAGATCCTCATTAAAAGATGCTTATAATTATATATGTTATTATGGTTTTACTATGAATATATCCTATCAATTTTACTTTATGGAAATTAATGTTTATTGAAATATTAAATAACTTAATCAATGTGAAAAAGTAATTTCTATAGTGTCAAATGATTTCTTAGAAATTCAATAAATAATGGAACAAAAGAATATTCAAATAAATTATATATTTTTAAAATTTTTACTTCATAGATTTTTCATAACAAGTTGAGCACAAAAAGAATGATTCTAGAGAAAGTATTTTCATGTGTAATATAATTAACATCAAATAATTCTAATCTTCATTTCAGTCTTTCCCTAAAATGGAGGAAACTACAAAAAGTCATGTTACTGAAGGTAACTGGAATTTATATTTTTCTGTAATATATCTACAGGTTTCAGAAGGACTTGTTAAATATATTTGTTTGTCATTCTGTATACCACAACAAATCTTCATGTGATCACCTCTGCTCCTATACTGGCCATGATACTTTGCAACAGTTATATGTTTTCATTCTGCCATGAAAGCAATGATTCCCTCCTTAATTCACCTTCAAGTTACCTTTGTCAAGTTGAAAAACACCTTCTTTTTTATCCCAACTGCATAGAAAATAGCTAATAGCAAGGAACCAGCTGACCAATGCTCCCATGTACATGCACATAGCTGCCAAGCAAGTGCACAGACATTGCCAAAGCCTTGTACTCCTCTCCACTAAATGTCATAACATCCTGCCCCAACAAGCTTGGCCATATCACATCAACAGCACTAGAAATTTTACTGGAGTTTTGCTTTCAGTAGCAGAGGCCATAAGTTGGCTGCCTTGGACTTCATTATTATAACAGTGATACTTAGCTGAAAGTGATGGGCAGCTACCCCTTCACATGGCCACTATTAAGAGGCCATTTCAGTCTCCAGTATCCTCTGTCCGTATACTCTGTCATCACTCTTTTTTACAAGTTGAACCCTGCAATAGAGTTTCCAGTGAACATAAATACAAACGGCTTTGTTAAAACTGAATTTTAGATAAATAATAATCTGCATTGTAAGCAGATCCCAAAGATAACATGCTACATACTTATCCTTAAAAATGTGTTTAACTAAAATGCAAATTTCATTTACTCTATATTTAATCTTCCAAACTTACCCTGGGTTATTTGACCTCGTAACTTTTGGTCAAAGAAAGCAGGAATGTGTGATGGAGGAAAAGCTATAGGCCACCCAATAGTAACGGTTAAACAAACTATTTCTCACATTGCTGCTGGAGGGAAACAGCATATGGAAAACTGACCTTGATGGTTAACAATGGTGATGCAAAGTCAGCATCCCCCATTGTATTTCCTAAGATGTTCTCTAAGGTGGCTCCTCCAAAAGCACGAGTTTTACAATAAAACAAGCTATGGATAGTATTGTAATTGTCTTACTCTTTTTTTATTTCTGCATATTTTTATTACTTTAATTTTAAATAGCTTGCTTCACATGTCAATCCCAGTTCCCTCTCCCTCCCCTCCTCCCGCACCCCTCCCTCTACCATCCCCCCAGTCTCCCACCCTATCCCCACTTCCTTCCACATAGGGGATATCTAGAGTCTTTCATTTCACTCAGGGCAGGGTCCAGGCACTCCCCTAAGAGTCCAGGCTGAGAGAGCATCCCTCTTTGTGTTATGGATACACAAAGTCCTTTTGTATGCCAGGGATAAACACTGATCTACTGCCCAGGGCCCCATGGGTTGCCCAGGCCTCCTCACTGACTCTCACATTCAGGGGGTCTGCATCAGTCCCATGCTGGCCTCCCAGCTGTCGGTCTGGGGTCCAAGAGCTCCCCCTTGTTCAGATCAGCTGTCTCTGCTGGTTTTGCCAGCCCATTCTTTGCCAATTTGCTCATCGCTCCTCTCTCTCTGTCACTGGGTTCCATGGGTTCAGTTGAGTGTTTAACTGTGGGTGTTTGCCTCTGCTTCCATCAGTCACTGGATGAAGGTTCTAGGATGGCTATAGACGTCAAGTTGATTATCAGGAATGGGCATTTAAGGTAGTCTCTCCTCTATTGCTTAGCTTGCCAGTTGGTGTCATCCCTTTAGATAACAAGAGGTCTCACTGGTGCCAGATCTGTCTTCTAACCTATGACTCCCTCTTCCCCCTATTCTACCCCTCACTCAACCTTCTTGTTCCCCCATGACCTATACTCTCTCTTCCTCTTCTCCCCTCTCTTCTTCTCAGCTCCCACTCCCCCCTTACCCCTTGCCATGTTCCTAATCTATTCAGAAGTTCTTGCCTCATTCCTCTTCTCTGGGGTACCATGCATATCTCTCTTAGGTTCTTTCCTGTTTCCCAGACTTTCTGTCAGTGGAAGTGCAGACTGGCACTATCCTGATCCATGTCTAAAATCCATATATGAAAGAGTACATAACATATTTGTCTTTTTGTGACTGCGTTACCTCACTCAGGATGGTTTCCTCTAGTGTCATCCATTTACCTGTGAATTTCAAGATTACATTGTTTTTTTCTGCTGAGTAGTACTCCATTGTAAAGACTTACAACACATATTAATTAAGGGCACAGAAAAGTCTCACAAAGAGAAAACTTACTTACCCTTGTCTAAATCAGTGTTTTCTAAGTTCTGTCTTGAACAGGTATCTGGCTCTTTCTCTGACAAAGTGCCATCTCACTGAATCTGTATGCTATAGACAAACTCTAAGCACCATCACCCAAATTTTAAAAATGTATACTATTCAGATGTTTGGAATTGGATAATAGGTACATGTTTAGAAAAACGACTTCAGTGTGATGGCCCATTTGTTTTAATATGAGAAAATTCTGCTCCTTCCCATACAGCTTCTTTGTTGATGGAGGGCAAAGTCTTTATGTTTGAACCATAAAGATGATGGTAGCAAGATCTGCCATGGAAAGTAGTCTGGTTGTTAAGCTTGTGTGCAGAAATCCTCCAAAACAATCAATACATTTCAGATGAGTAATTGTGTAATGAAGGAATGTTATAAAGAAGTCAATACCATCACTAAATGTGTTTATTTTTAAAGTTGCAGCCCACCTAACCGATTTGTTCAAGCAATCCATGGCTTTGGCACCAAAATGTCCACCAGAAACATTCACTAAAGACTTCTTTGAAAAGAAGTGGAGGTAAACTACACTGGATGTGTGTACTAGTTTGTGCACACATAGGGAATGGAGAAGTATGGGTATCTCCCAATGATGATGTTTCTCTGTCGTTTGAGGGCACTACCTATTTTACCACATTTTTCTTCTTTTCACATAGGAGTTCATCACCAGGGACGGTCTGGAAAGAAAAGCTTGATCAACAGAGGTAATTCTCCCTGGTCTAGACATAAGCTATGAAAAACCCAGTTGTGGGACCTTAGAGTTCAGTAGGCTGTAAGGGCCTACAGGCTCCCAGCTGCTGCTTGCCACTTCAACAAGCCAAGGTGGCATCTGAGGCAGCCTCTTAAGCCATTAGGTAAATGCAGATGCTCCCATCCCCTGCAGTAGAATTCTCTCTTCGCTCTTTCATGCTCTTGGTGATTCTAACATGCTCATCAGCATTTTGGGAATTAGTCATATACACTTGGGATTTATGCTGTTTGCTTCAGGAATGTGTCCTGAGTATCATGATGTTTGCTCTCCCTCCAATCTGAGTTTAAGATTTCAACTCCAGCTTTTTATTCATAAAGGAAGCCAAATGTGTTTATACATCTGTGATGGGGTGGTTATTTGTATGCATGAGTGTTGTTGGTTGTTTTTCACTCTTTACTCTTTAGGGGCCCACCACCCAGCTCCCAAATAAATCATACAGAGACTTTTTCTTGTTTATGAACGCCCAGCCTAAGCTTGGCTTATTTCTAGACAGCTTTTCTTAAATTATCCCATCTACTTTTTGCCTCTGGTCTTTTACATTTTTCTATTTCTGTATATCCTTTCTTTCCTTCTTACTCTGTGTGTCTGACTGTGTAACTAGGTGGTTGGCCCCTACCATCCTTTTTTTTTCTTTTCTCACTCCCCTCATTGTTTCTCTCTCTCTCTCTCTCTCTCTCTCTCTCTCTCTCTCTCTCTCTCTCTCTCTCTCTCTCTCTCTCTCTTTCTCTGTCTCTCTTTCTCTTTCTCTCTCTCTCTCCTATTTATTCTCTCTGCCTGGCAACCTGGCCTATTCTTCTCTCCTGCTCAGCTATTGACTGTTCAGCTCATTATCAGACCAATCAGGTGTTTTAGGCAGGCCAAGTAACACAGCTTCACTGAATTAAGCAAATGCAACATAAAAGAAGGCAATACATTTGTGCATCAGTAAGCAAATATTCCACAGCATAAACAACCGTAACACATCTTCAACTAATATTCCACAACAACTGAGTTTATCCTTTTAGAAACATCACCTTCATTAAGGTGTATTGGGGTTACATTTTAGAATGTATTGGGAAAATGGAATACGTCTTATTTCCTCACTTACAAGGTTGAACCTACACATCTTAGGTCCCTTGACTGATATCCCAGTAAGCAAAGACAGACTGGTCTGAGGAAGTAAGATGGATTTATCTAAGTTTAATATGAGACAGATGATGTCATAAAGATAAGAAGATCTAAAAGACAAGACTGGGGCTGCATACCTCTATGCCCCATTTTATTAATAGAGAGCCATGGATAAATATGATGGGACAAGACTATTACCTAATACTAATAAACTGGGAGAAAATAGTGGGGCCTGGATGCTCACATACTCTGGCATCCCTTCATCTTCCAGATAGAGATGCTCCTTTCCTCTTCACATAGGAAGGGTACCACTCCTGGAGGTTTGGCGACATGCTTCAGGGAAAAGCTAGGAAAAACACTTTCTAGATTTTTGTCCTAGAAACAACATATGAGAGACTGTCAATGGGGAATGAGACTGGATGTTCAGAGGATAATGAGAAATGGAGACTTGCTTTTTTTTCTTTAATGTACTTCTAAATTTTATTACCAATCTCAAATTGCTATAGCTGTGAGACAATGGGCATGGCTAACAAAACTAAGAATATTATTATGAACCAAAAGTGATGAGAAATAATATGATGATTTTTTTAAGTTCAATGACAACTTCATACATGTATTCAGTGCATTCTGGCTGCTGTTTTTTCTGAGTCCCTCTGATCGCTGTCCTACCCCTTCCTGGCCCTTCTCAGATTCATGACTTTGGTTTGTTGTGTGACTCATTTAGTCAGAACTGTGTATGTAACTATTGGATTGAGACTATGTCCTAGAGCCTGGTGGGGTCATCAGTAGGTACACAAGGGAAGGCACTGTTTCCCCTTTTCCTGGATCTAATGAGCAAAGCATAGGGGCCCCTGAGTCCCTCCTTCTTCCCTGTGATGTCCATTCTTTTTCAGGCCCTGTGCACACATATATAATTGTGGAGGGTCTATGGACATACTCTTCTAACACCTTTTAAATTCCGTGCTTATTATGAGCTGTCCATTTTTTTAAACAATTGAAATATTCACAACTCAAAATTTTAATGTGTGAGTGGTTAATTGTAGCTAGGGAAGGTGAGACACATCATTAAATGCATGGTATGAAAAGAAAAAAATTGAGAACAAGAAATGTGGGCTGAGTATAAAGAAATCAACATGTCAGGGGCATGGAAATGAGAAGCCTTACAGAAGAATCAACACTGAGACTGGGACAAAGGAATGTAGACCTCTCAATTACCAGGCTCACTGTTTCCTTCTTAAGAACAATTGCAAGAGTGTCATGAACAACCTCCAGACTGCCTTACTTGATGGGGAAGTCCCATGAGGTGGAGAGAGAAGGTATTTTAATGGCAAATTAAAGTTGCTTAAATAAGATGGCTTACTGATTTCACTTCACAATCCTTCTGGATATGCAGTCTGTATATGTCGCTGGTCTCAGAATCAGCATGTCTAGGGACAGCTAAAGTATGATTTCTTGTGTATAGATGGGAGTTTTCCATTGGGACTGTGATCTGCTCTGTTCCAGTCAGCTCTGTTCTGTCATCTACTTCCTGAATAACCACTCAGAGAATTATCACTAATTACAAATGCTTGGCCAATAGCTCAGGATTATTACTAACCAGCTCTTACAACTTAAATTAACCCATTTCTATTCATCTATGTGCTTCCCTGAGGCTGGGAACTCTTCTTCTTCCCAGCATTCTCTCTGCCCCCAAAATCCTGCCTAGCTATCAGCCAATCAGCTTTTTATTAACATTGAGAACAATACATACCTACTTTATACAAAGATTGTTCCACAGCATTTCCCCATTTTGTCTAATTTAAGAGGAAAAATTTAACTTTAACATAGTAAAATTATATACAACAAAAGCAATTATTAAGTAAGAATTACAGTTAACAATAGCCAGTCCATTTGTATTCACAAAATTAGAAAAAAATTAAGTTGTAAGAGCTAGTTACTAATAAACCTGACCTGTGGGCCAAGCCTTTATAATTAGTAATAATTCTCTGAGTGGCTATTTGGGAGGCAGCTGGCAGAACAGAGCTGATTGCGATCCAGACCCCACCCCCCAAAAAAAAATCTCTGCCTACTCCTGTGGATTCCATTATGCTACTGGCTGTTTCACTTCAGGGGTTCTTATCTATAAAATATGAAGATAATCAGCCTGGATGACTGACCATTGCTTAGAAGGTATAGTTGTCAAGATCATGAGCTTAAAGTTGTAAAACCTAGCTTGTCGTTCTGCTCCACCCTGAATTAATTATGGTGTAGAATAAGTATCTAGTCTCTCCACACATTGAGGTTTTTGCTATAAAATGGAGATAACAAGGCTTACCTGATATTCTAGTTTAGAGCTCCTTGGCATCCCTGGAGTATCAAATCCCAGTAAAAGCATTCTGATTTGGAACAGCCAACTCACAGCAGTGTTACCTTGCCACTTTACTTGCTAACAATCTCTTGGGTTTTCTTCTTTGTATTGTGTAGCTGCTCCTGCTACTGTAATAATGGAAGCATGTGGTAGTCATTTATACCCCAGAGAACTTCACAACCTCAAAAGTAAAAACAAAAACAAAAGTCAGCCACTAGAAGAGCACTTTGGCTTTAGACATTTGAGATCAACTGGCATCATTAGTCTCTGTCTCATACAAGAATGTGATTTATAGCCGGGCGTGGTGGCGCACACCTTTAATCTCAGCACTTGGGAGGCAGAGGCAGGCGGATCTCTGTGAGTTCGAGACCAGCCTGGTCTACAAGAGCTAGTTCCAGGACAGCCTCTAAAACCACAGAGAAACCCTGCCCCGAAAAAAACCAAAATAAATAAATAAATCTGATTTACAAAGTAAAAATGTGGCCATAGAGGTAAAAAGTGAACACACCACCCCCAAATAGAAGAATCTGGGTGGAGCAACCCCTAATCCCAGTCAGTACTAGGAAGGCAGAGGCAGGTGGGTCTCTGTGTTTTCAAGGCCAAGTGTGTGTAAGAAGTTAATTCTAGGCCTGCCTAGACTAAATAATGAGATCCTATCTCAAAGAAGAAAAAAAAAGTTCAGTGAGTTTTCCCTTCTCAATTTTACTGTCAGTGATTGCAGTGGGATTCAGGAAGCACAAGGAAATAATTTTTCTATGTGTTTTGTGTGTCTACTTTTGCATATCATCATGGAAATATGAACCAGGGAAACTATTGAGAAAACACAGAAATACCTGTTGCAAATTAGGACCAAAGAAGTAACACCTTATTTTAAGTCTGAATTGAGCCCACTATTTAAGTCACAGGTAATTGAATATAATTCATAATAATTTAATCTTTATAAAATTATGTACCGCATATTAATCTGTGAATTCTCTTTTCTGATACCATTTATTTACCTATTGCAAAAATCTGACTGAATGATTCTCATGCTTTCAAATATGTGTTCACACAGCACATAATAGGGAAACTCTTCATACATATGTCACATTCGCTCCCTTCCCTCCTTGCATGGGACCATTTGTCATCCTATCTCTTCCCTGCTAAGCTCTTCTATGTGCCAAGTCCTCGCTGTTGCTGATTAACCAACTGCTAAAAACTCTAATTATAGTTTTATGTCATTAGAGCTCCCTAAGCCATCAACTGTTAAAATACCATTAAGTTACCGTGAGCTCTTAGAAGCCCACAGACACTGAACAGAATCTCTTCCACATGAGCCCACTCTTAAGACCTTAAGCCACACGCTAGCTTGACACTCACTACCCTCATGGCCCCTCACTGCCCCTCACTGCCCCTCACGGCCCCTCACTGCTCCTAACTGCCCCTCACTGTCCCTCACTGCCCCCTCACTGTCCCTCACTGCTCCTAACTGCCCCTCACTGTCCCTCATAGCCCCTCACTGCCCCTCACTGCCCCTCACTGCCCCTCACGGCCCCTCACTGTCCCTCACTGCCCCCTCACTGTCCCTCACTGCTCCTAACTGCCCCTCACTGCCCCTCACGGCCCCTCATGACCCCTCACTGCTCCTAACTGCCCCTCACTGTCCCTCACTGTCCCTCACTGTCCCTCACTGCCCCTCACTGCTCCTAACTGCCCCTCACTGTCCCTCACTGCTCCTAACTGCCCCTCACTGTCCCTCACAGCCCCTCACTGCCCCTCACTGCCCCTCACTGCCCCTCACGGCCCCTCACTGTCCCTCACTGCCCCTCACTGTCTCTCACTGCCCCTCACTGTCCCTCACTGTCCCTCATGGCCCCTCACTGCTCCTAACTGCCCCTCACTGCCCCTCACTGTCCCTCACTGTCCCTCACTGTTCCTCACTGCCCCTCACTGTCCCTCACTGCCCCTCACTGCCTCTCACTGTCCCTCACTGCCCCTCACAGCCCCTCACTGCCCCTCACTGCCCCTCACTGTCCCTCACTGTCCCTCACTGTTACTCACTGCCCCTCACTGCCCCTCACTGTCCCTCACTGCCCCTCACAGCCCCTCACTGCCCCTCACTGTCCCTCACTGTCCCTCACTGTCCCTCACTGTTACTCACTGCCCCTCACTGTCCCTCACTGTTCCTCACTGCCCCTCACTGCCCCTCACTGTCCCTCACTGTCCCTCACAGCCCCTCACAGCCCCTCACTGTCCCTCACAGCCCCTCACAGCCCCTCACTGCCCCTCACAGCCTCTCACTGCCCCTCATGGACCCTCATTGCCTCTCACTGATGCCTCAAAGCAAAGCAAACACACTTCCATGTGTCCACAATGCCCCGCAGTCCTCAAAACTGCAGGATACTGTTATTAACCAGAGGAAACTCCAAAAGCCATGACTAGTTAACTATGATGAGGATTCAATTAGTCTCTCACAAAATTTTAGTTTTCAACTTCATCTTTAGGGCCTTGTCAGCATTGCCTGTTGATTTAACTAACAAATTTGTGACAGTTACATAAAATTAGTGTGTGTCTGAAGTATGTCTTGTGGGTTTTCCTTTAAGTATAATTATCTGGAGAAGCTTTCCAAAGAACTGCCTCCTTTTACAAAGAAAAATGAAGCCACAGCCAAAACAGCTGTTCCAGATCTTGATTTGGGTAAGGCATTTATATGATTCCTGTTCCTATCACCTGACCTGGACTGAGTCATACCCAATACAGCCCCTTAGGATGTGGCTAGTTCTTACCATCTATTGCCTTATGACAGCTGGTGACAGGACATGCTATTACCTGCATACTACAGATATGTCTGAATTGTATAAGGAGAGCAAGATAGAATTGAATGTCAGATTCATTTCTTGTGCCTAACAGCATTTAGAAGATGTGACTAGCCAAAGGATTAATGAAGGTTTTTTTGAGAACAGGGCATTCACGTTGTCTCAAAATAACTCACAGAAAGAAAAATGAAAATAATATACAATGGAGACAGTGTTCAACACCTTAGTTAAGTAGTCAAGTGTCCATCAAAGGGAAGACTGTCTGCCACTGAGTGCCTTTCTCCGGAGTACAATGTGCATAGTAACTATACAGAATTCATGTCAAAAAGCCTTTATCTGAATCTAACCAAGAGGATGCAACTGACAAATGTGTACAAGTTTGCAGATGTTATACAATACAGATGGCTTGGTGTCTTCAAACACATCAGTGTCAGATTAGATGTGCTGTCAGTTGTAGAGCCCTTGGCTAACATGCATGTGACTTTGGTTTCAGTCCCAGCACTGTACAAACATTGAGTCAGTATCATGAAATAAAAAAGATGGGACAATTGTCCCATGCATGACATAAAAATAACATGTAAGAGATCAAAGGGGAAAAACAAGAGTTTTATTAAGGGACTGTATGTCAGCGGACAGCGTGGAATTGTTCCTTTCTTAGGTATAGTGATGGGAACATAAATAAAAGTGAATGTCTGTATTCTCAGCAAATGAATGCTGAGTTGACAGTGCAATGGAATCCAGCACTTCTTCTTAGTAAAATGAATAATGCAAAGACCCAGACAGAAAAAGTTTTCACTGCTTAATACCATACCTATGTACCCAGAATATGCATGGCCAGAAAAAAGCATATACTTTCAAATAGAGCTTGCAAAGCAGAGATCAGGGATAGAAAAATCAAGTGTGATTGTGGTGAGGCAAGATCAGGTGATCTGAGTTGATGGGCCTTGTGTTGTCAGTTAATCTTGCCACACCTTGAAGAAACAAGAGTAACCCCAGTGTACTCCTTGAAAGGACAGCATCTTTGAGGACAGTCACTGGGCAGCTACAGCTAACTGCTCATCCAGCCTTTACACATGCACAGGCTGAATCATAAATATGTTTTCTTAAATTTCTTTCATATTGCACCTGTTTCTTAGAGATATGTATTTTAATGAAGAGCTACATTTTCACAGCAATGAATAGATCTGAAATCATTTTTGTTTAATAGATAAATGCAGAGGCAGATTGCTTGGCCTAAGGCTGGTGACAGCTCTATCTGGCCATAATGCCCACAAGATCCATCCAGTTCCTAGGGAGTATTTGCTCTGCAGTAACTGCCTTGCCTGGTAGTGGCAAACACTGATCATATTATGAGGAATCTCTCAATGATGGTCTCATATGTAGTGTTTTCCAGGAGAATAGGGAAACACTTTGTTCATTGAGAAAGTCACTGTTCAGTGTTGTTTATATAAATGTTAATTGTCTCTGTATTGTTGGCCATAACATGACTTATCTTGTTTCTTTGGGTATTTTTAGATTCTACACTGCCTGTGGATGTAAAACAAGAAGCTGCAAATATACCTCTCCTTCCAAAGCAGGAGGTTGCTGAGACTATCAAGGAGTCTGCTAGCCAAAGCGATACTGAAAATGTAACCAAATCTACCAGGAAGCCTTCTAACCAAAACCAAGCTGAAAATTTAGAGCAATCTACTCAGGATTCTGATAGTCAAAATGGAACGGAAATTGTAACCAAATCTACCAAGGAGTCTGCTAGCCAAAAAAATATTGAAAAAATTAAAAAATCTACCAAGAAGTTTTCTAGCCAAAACCAAATTGAGAACTTAATAAAATCTATCAAGGAATCTTCTAGTCAAAACAAAATTGAAAATGTCACCAGACCTCCTGTTGAAGGTATGACCATCATTTACTTGATCTCATAGACTCAAAGTAAATGCCGTATGTCTTCAGAGTGCAGGATTCTCCTGTCTCGTGTCTCCAGCAATGAGATTTCAGACACATGCTGCCATACCCAAACATGGATGATTCATGTGTGGCAAGTGCTCCCCTGCCTGTCCTGCTCTGGCACCACCAAATTCATATTTTTTAAGAGACTACTCTGGGTTGTTGGGGGAGTGACACTGGCTGCTCTTCTAGAGTATGTAGATTCTATTCCAAGCAACAAAACAGGGATTCCAACCATCTGTTACTCCAGTTCCTGGGTATCCAACACCTTCTTCTGGCTACCGTGGGGAACAGGTACACATAGTACATAGACATACATGCAGGCAAAACACTCATTCACACAAAATTTTAAAAAGGAGCAATTACACCTACTTGAGAAACTGAGGCAGTATGATTGTAAATTTAGGCTAGCCTGGACAACATAGCAAGATTATATAGCCAAAGAGAAAGAACCTAAAAATGTAAGCAGACTTTTCTGGGGCTCCCAGCTCCCAAATAATGGCACAGAAAGTTATTAACAATTATTAAAGCTTGGCCTTAGCTTAGGATTGTCCCACTAGCTCTTATAACTTAAATTAACCCATATATTTTTACTAATCTACGTTCTACCACATGGCTCTTACCTCTCTCATTCTGTGTGCCCAACTTGTTCCTCATCTCCATGGCATCTCCTGCATTATCCTCTTCCTCTCTTTGCCTGGAAGTCCCACCTATCTCTTCTGCCTGGCTATTGGCCGTTCTGTTTTTATTATACCATTCACAGCAAAAATATCTTCACACAGTGTACAAATATCCCACAAAGTTTCCCCCCTTTTGTCTAAATAAAAAGGAAAGGTTTTAGCTCTAACATAGTAAAACTATATGCAAGAAGAACAATTATCAAGTAAGAATTACATTCACAATGTTTAGTCCATATGTATTCGGCAAATTGGGAGAAAATACTATATTATCTATCCTATCTTAATGAGTTCACGGTTTTATACCTAAACCATTTTCTCTCATAACTTGTATCACCATCCTAAAATTACCTTTTTAGACTTAAAAACATCTCCTAAGATAAACAACTTAAGCTTTTATGATTTTATATCTCTTATGTAAGATTTTTTCTGAATTTGACACCACTGTATACCATCTAATCTTCAATCCTCATCAGATATCCAAGAAGGATATACTATTACCTGAATAAACAGGAAGTGAAGAACAAGCAACTTCCAAAACTATAGAAACAACAGAGACATCTGGCTGCCTTGACAGTAACCCAAGGTTCCCCTGCACCACTGGGGCATCCATCTTTGGCCTACAGGCCTAGGATATCTGATAGACTTTTCTGTGAAGCAGGAATTCTGAAGGTCTGTTCTAACTTGTCTTGGCAAAGTTCAGCAGTCATCTTCTTTTGTGTCCTATTTGTCCAATTTCGACAGCATACTATTAGCAGTTGTGAGGCAAGGGTAGTTTCTTGCCCTGTGTCTAACTGTGCCATAATAAATGCAAACTCCATATAGAGGTTCCTCAATGCCCATCATCCTTTTTTGAAGTAAATTGGTGCTGTCATGAAAAGCTTTAGCTTATTTGGAAATCTTAAATGCCATATTCTGTCTCTCTGAAGTGTTTCAAGACCATTAGTCTATCTAAAGTACAACCTTGAAAATATACCTGTCATGGCCATAAATTTGATTGTTAGATGACTAACTACTAATCTGTATTTCTTAATTATCCTAAATACTTCATAATAATGACTTTAAAGAACTAGAAATTTATATTACATTATTAAATGAGATTCATAGGTACAAAATCTTAAACAAGAGTAGAAACATATGTCAAGTATTTCCTAATAAAAATAACCTTAAATTTGTATCATATACAAAAATCCATACCAATTTAAAATAGTTGAGATTAATAGTTACTTTTAATTTTAAAGTACATTCAATGATCTACCCTTTTATATGCTGTCATTTCTGTATCCCCTCTTTTCTTTCAGAAAGAGATCCTTGAATCTAATCTCCTTTGTTGAACTTTTTCCTGACCATGACAAATAATAACTTGTAACCAGCCTACCTAAACAATAACAAGTATTCATAACCCATTGAATAACCAAAAACCACCAGCCCCACCTCTTGGGAATGTGAGCATCGTGTTCTCTAGATTGCTTCCTGTTGTCTTGGAGCAATAGCATCTTTAAGGGACCCTGAGAAAACTGAGATAATGGACAAGTCCTAAGAGCTGACTATATTACTCTTTTTGTTTAGTCCATTGTTAATGGGACACTTCAGAACTTACCTGAAGTCCTGACTGGAGTAGTCTGTGAGGCTGGGCCATCTCAGCTAGCAGCTTTGAAGTTGTTCTGGATATAGAATTTGAGGAAACTGCAACAGAGGCATTTTTGGGAGACTGGATCACATGGGCTACTTTTTTCATTGGAGTTTGGTCCTTTTTTTCTTTCTGAAAACACACAAACTTTTAAAAATAACATATATCTGCATTAAAGTATGGAATGTGTAGTGTGCACAAGTCAGATAAAGACATTTTGTTGTTGTTGTTGTTCTGCATTTGAGCAGGTAAAAGTCATCTGTCAACTTTATTAAGTCCATCGGGGCTGTACAAGCAAACCACTATCCATGCCACATGAAAGGATGATATGTATTAATATCATAAAAACTTAGTAGCCAACAAGATTTATTATATCTCATCTAGTTTCAGAGCTGTTCCCATGTCGAGGGATCAGCATATATGTCACCTGTCTTGTAGTCTTTCTTGGATTTTTTTTATGTCTGTGGCCAAGATTTTCAGGAGGTCTCCCCCAGTCAATTAGCTTCTTACCATCTTTCTCTTATGTGTGTATATGTTGTGTGTGTGTACACATTTCTCTGTGTGTGTGTTGTTGTGCGGGTACATGGGCTTCTTCTTCAATTGCTTTCCACCTTAACATTTGAGACAGGATCTCTTGCTGAACTGGGAGTTCACCAGTTTGGCCAGACTTGCTAGCTAGAACTTTCTATTGGGGTAATAGTATGGGCAGATAGTTAGTACACATTGGATCAAGCTGTTACAATGAATGCCTACATGGAGAACGGTGGCCCGCAGACATCAGAATGCTAACTGCTAAGCTCCATCTCTTGAGATTCTGGTTGCTCTGATTGACAACAGGACCTGTCTGTCCTGTGGCCTAGGAATCTGCTTTTCCAGGAGCTACCCTGAAATAGTGGTGCTAGACAGGCGTGGGGCTCTGTGAAATCTGACTTATTGGGGTTCACATTCCAGCCCCAACACTCATTAACAGCTTCTTAGACAAGTTAATTTATTTTCTGAATTTCTATTTTTATTTTCCTCATCTGTAAAGAGGCAGGGGGGATTGGGGAGTATATTTCTGTTATGTTCACTGGGGCTTTTCAATTTCTAAATAAGAAAATAAAGATTCAATAAAATGGGAACGGTTGTGGATTTACTTCGACTCAAAAGAAAAGAAGAGAGCAGGACTTGGGGTCAGTCCCTGGCTGCCTCTGGCTCCTAGGCTTTCCTTGAATGCACGTGTGCAGGCTGTTTGTCTTCGCCCTCTCCCATCGGCTTCTTGTCTTCATTTGACTCCGCTCTCACCTACAGAGGACAGGTTACTTCCATGTGGCAGGCAGGCATCCTGACACCAGAGGCCCAAGTTCCAACTCTCTCAGATCAACAGGCAAAATGGTGTTATCCCCATCAGCCTGGGTATAATTATCCAGGAACAGTCTGTACTTGGGACATGTGCCACCCTGATGGCACAGACCGAATGCCGTAGACCTACATGTATTTGGGACAAAACTACAAGTGAAAGGGCGTAAAGGTAGCACGCTGAGAATAGCAGCTGAAGGGCTCCCTTCAGCCTCCTCAGCCTCCTTAGGCTCCCCCAGCTCCCTTCACAGCCCTCAGCACCCTACACACCCCCAGTCCTGTCAACCCCTCCTCAGCTTCCTATGGCATTGCTTGCTTACAGTGAGCTCACTGCCCTCACTTAGATGGTTTTTCAAGGGCAAGATGAGATGCTCTGTGTAGAATTAATTTTCAGTGTGGTGTTCGCCTGTAGAGCATGCATGCTCAGCGTGCCTTTTTTTCCTCGATTTGTTATTTGACTCCCACCCCCAGTGTGTGTGTGTGTGTGTGTGTGTGCGCGCACGCGTGTGTTATGGTTATCTGCTATTTACGTGCAGGAGTTTGCAGAGGCTAAAGAGGGTGTCGGATCCCTTGGAGTTGGAATGACAGGTGGTTGGTTGTGAGCTTCCTGGTGTGGATTCTGAGATGTAAAGCTGGGTCCTCTGAAAAATCGTCAAGTGCTCTTAACCACTGAGCCATCTCTCCAGCATCCCCTCCCCAACAGAAGATCTTTAAGTAGTATGACTTCAGTACAATTTTTAGTTCAACTGTAGTTTTGGGGGATTATTCATTTCTTCACCCTCCTTCCAATGATTGAGAGAGACAATAAAGATTTAAACCTCTGGTTTAATCCATTTATAATTACTATGCCGGGTTTTGGAGCTATAGGAATCAAAATAGAATCTATATTTCTTAAGGTGGTACACCCTCCTCCCCCTTAGAACTAGAAAATCTTTCAGAGTTGATATTTCACTGATTACCCTTGATAATTTAATGGAAAGGATCCTGAATACCAAAATATAAGATGAGTTCATCATAGGGAAGTTACTTGAAAACTCAGAATTCTATTTTTTTAATGATGCTAAAAGCATCTGCCTGCCATCTCATAGAGAAGTTGTAAGGAACAAAGATAGGTAATGTATATAGAACTGCCTAGCAAAATGTACAAATGGAAAATGGGAATTGATGAAAGCTTTTATTTCTTTAAATAGGCTCTCAGAGGCTTGGTGACACAGATGGAGATGGAGACGCTTGTTCATGTAGAGGAGTAGATTTCAGTTCCCAGCACTCACATCAGGCAGGCATCTCACACCACCTGTAACTCCAGATCCAGGAGATCCAATGCCATTTTCTGACCTCTGGAGCACATGCACCTACACACACGCACACACACACACACACACACACACACACACACACACACACTCACACATACTCACACTCACTCACACACACACAATCACATACACTCACAAGAACATGCACATATATACACACTTGTGCATGCAAATAGGCACACATACACATGCACATAAATAATAAATATTTTTTGAAAAAATAAAAATTAATCTTTACAGTTTCCAGGCTGGACTGTGCTCATCTATGTTCTGGCAATGCTACACATATCTTTGATGTGCCCTAATTTATACTTTTTCTCTAACAGAACCAGACTTTTTTATGCCGATCAAAATTCCAACTCAGTCATTGCTGCAGGATGTTACTGGGCAAGCAAGAAAAGAGAAAGTGAGGTTACCTTACTATCTGATGAGTTCCAAGCCCAAGTGTCAACCTCTTGCCAAGGTAACAAAGATGCTTAGGCAAGTCTCCCAGGGCATTCCTGCAATTGAAACCACTGAGGTTCATGTCTGCACAGGAGCATGGTGCTTTGCTGCCACTGACACACACCAGCTTCTGGGTTTCATCAGCCGGACTGGGAGGTTCCTAGGAAGGTCACTTTGGGGAGAATCATTCAGGTGCTCTCTTGGTAAAGGGATCACTGGCCTCCCATCCCAGTGTTAACCAGGGTTATGCCATTTTTTAAATCCCTCCATTCTGGTAAAATGGTGATAATTCCTGAAATTGCACTTGTTTGTATTTGTAGAACTAAAGTCACTTGTTTGCCTAGAAGCTTGCCCACCCTGCCCCCTGGGCTCTCAGTTAAGGACAGCCACCAGGGCTATGTATCAGTCACCTGGCTTTCTTTGGCTCAGCACTGTCTGGTCACTCCTAGGATCTGGAAGCCCTGGGTCAATAGTTTTCCAATCTCCTTCTCCAGTCACTTCCTCTGAAACCTGTAAGAAGGGACCCCCAACTCTGTCTCATGTGTTAGCTATCTGAGGTAGCATAAAGAGACAAAAGGCAAAAAGAGACTTCAAGAGATGGGACTGTGTGTGTTAAAACAGAACACTGAGGGGAAGCCTCCCTCCTCAGTTAATGAAGGGAATCTGCAGTGGGGAAAAAACTAGCTGGGTTCCCTTACAGGGGAAAGGGAGGGACTTGGGGGCTATGTGTGGATCTGTGGTCTCTGCTGGACTTGTCTGCTTCAGGGAAGACAGATTATTTTGGGAGATAGGTTGTGGATGCAGACATTTCTCTTTGGGTTGTGGCTGACCAATAAGGTTGGATAAGGACAGCTGTAATCTCAGGAGTTCTGTTTTACAAACTAGGTACTCTATCAATGTGGCCTGAAGTCTTCTTTGAGCCCTTTCTTGTCTGTCTATGGTGTTAATAACACTTCTAATAATCTCTTACCCTAAAGGACTGTGCCCCTAAACCCCAAAAGCTTTCACTTAACAATGCTTAGGATAAAGTTCAAAGAACTTGAGCTGGCACAAAGTATGGCCTCATGTTGTTGGAAATAAATTCAAGAGCTTAATGAAAACAAAATTTTAATATATGGGATGCCAGCATAGAGAAAAGGCAAAAATGGCTGGCGTGATTTGATAAGACAGTGGCTGTTAAGGCTGTTGTCCTACCTTGTGGTCACGCTGCCCTACTTGACTCTACCATGAGAAATTCTTGTTCTCTTGCCCTATGGGTCAGGACATGCCCTCTTCCCAAATTCCTCACCTCATTGGCTTAGGATACAAAGCCTTACCTAATGAGTAATTTGAGACTTGAGACCGCTTCCTTTTCTGATCTTGGGCTCAGTTCCATCACAGACCTGTGACTTTCCAGCTCTCAAGGTTCTGAGACCTGCAGACACGGGCCACCAGCTATGGAGGGAACAAAGCCCAGCACCTCTTGTTCTCTGTGACTCTGATGAACTCTAAAAGCTCCTCATATTGAAAATGGACCCTAACAATATATTTGCTAAAATTTGCTCTTCCATCCTACCCTGCCCACCCTCTCCTTCAACCGCTACAGGTTTCTCTCATCTCGCTTCCCCAGCACCTTTTAGATAAAGTGTTCCCACCAGCTCTGATGGGAATGCTTCCTTATTCTCACAAGTCAAGAAGCAATTATCCTTTCATTACTTCCATGATGAACACTGGCTGTCACATTAGAGTGTGGTGCACGTGGAACTGATAATCCCTCTTGGAAGCTTGAATGTGCATATGGCTGACACAGGAGTTTGTTAGATGTGCAGATTCTGACTCTGCAAGTCTCAGATGTGACGGGGCAGTCTGCAGTGTAATCCCCTGGTGACATCAATGACAGGCAGAGGGTAGAGTCTCCGGGGTGGCTTCCTGATCAGCTGCCTTAGCAACACCAGAGAACATTTTAAATGCAAATCCCTCCCCAGTTCAGACACAAAGAATCTGAAACTCCAGGAATGGGAGCTGTAACCTTGAGTCTTCCTGAAGATTCTGCAGGAAGTTAACCAACCCTTGATCACCTCTGCCCCAGAGGAAAGAACTGGACCTAAGAATCAGGCAAACTTCAGGGAGAGAAGTTGCTTCTTGGGCATCTGAGCAAATGACCTCTCAACTCTGAACATGTGCTTTCTTTTCTTTAAGGCAAAACCAAAAATATTTTTATAAGTACTAGGTTTTCTTACCCCCACCCATAAGTTTCTCTGCCAATACAGTAAGCTAGATCAAGCTGAATTTAAAAAGTATAGCAACAGGTTTATTGAGAGCAATTTTAGGCAGGTTTTTGGGTCCCAGAGATTGAGGCCAAAGAAGCCACCCCCCACCAACTAAAGCAGGGAGATTTTATGAGTGGCAAGGAGATAATGACTTGTCTGCCACCAACTGGGTTTGTGCCCATGTATAGTCAAAAGCTGAGTGTTTAATTGGGGACTTGAGTGGTTGACAACTTCAGGGGAGGAAGCTTCAGTAGCCACCAAGAATATGGGACTGGTTGTTTTTTGTTTTGTTTTGTTTATGCCTTTCCTTTGTTTAGAGACTCTCTGAGTGAGTAGGGTTTAGAAAGAGGGAAAGTGACAGGAATGGGGTTTCCAGACCGTGCAGGGGTGAGCTGGAAGCTTCAACTGAACATAAGGATGTTGTAAGGATGGAATGAGACCATAAATCATAAATCTTTTAAATCTTCCCCTGTCCAAGCAGTCATTCTTCTCTGGCATCAGCAATGTTTTCTCCTAATCAAAAATTCCCCTGCTTACTTATATGTTTTTCTGCTCTACAAAGGTAGAAGATAGTGTTGGGGGAAAAGTGAATACATCCTCCATTGCATCGGCTGCCATTTATAACACGAATGCATCCCCTTTTGGGTTCCACCTTCTTCCACCATCAGTGAAGTTTGGAGTGCTTAAAGAAGGACACACCTATGCGACTATTGTGAAGCTCAAGAATGTGGGTGTGGACTTCTGCAGGTGAGGCAAAGGCACCAAGTGCCTACATGTTCCTTAAAGATTGTCTCTCCTATATTAATGACCGTTTGCCAAACTGTAGTGACATCTTGAATCCTGAATAATAACATGGTCCATAGCTTTATTTTTTCATTTATTCTTCAACAAATCAGTATTGACTGGGCTCCACTGAGTGATAGCTGCTTTTCTGCCTTCTGTAACTTGTTATTCATGCTTCAGTAGAAGCCACTCACTCCACTCTAGATCTGACCTGGCAAAAACCAAATAATTTGTATAAGCACTTCAATAATTAATACTCAGAACTTGAAACAATATGTCCTTATTTTCTCTGTATTGCTACCATAAACACCATGACCAAAGAAACTTAAAGAAGAAAGAGTTTATTTCAGCTTACAGTATTACATCAGGAAGGGCAGGAACTTAGGTAAGGAACTTGGAGGTAGGAAATAAAGCAGACACCATGAGAGAACACTGCTTACTGGCTTGCTTTCTTGTACAACTCAGAACCATCTGCCCAGGGGTGGTAACACCCACTGTGATCTGGGCCTTCCTACATCAATCATGATCAAGAAAATGCCCCCCATAGATTTGTCTACAGGCCAATTTGTTAGACACGATTCTTCAACTGAAGTTACCTCTTCCCAGGTATGCCAAGTTGACAGTCGCTATTAGCCATCACACTATATTTAAATACTCACCAACTGTGATGATCTCAATCAACATTTGTTTATACCTGATAGGAAAAGCTCTCTCAGAAAGTATTGTAGCACATTTAAGAACTTTGACATGATATCATAGGATACATAGATATTTCAAAAGCTTATTGCAGTGATGCACGTGTTTTTTTGTGTGTGTCAAGAGCAGCCATAATCTACTCAGTGGGAATCCTGTATATAGTACATTTCTCCTGCACCCAATCCTCATGTACATTAGGTCTCTAGACTTGTCAGTTATATACATCTATTGATTTGTATATGTTATATTTTTAATTATGTGCGTACATGCCTGTGTGTATGTACACGAGTGAAGGTATCCATGGAGGGCAGAAAAGGCCCTTATAGTCAGTCCTTGGATTGGAGTTACAGGAAGTTGTAAGACAGTGGAGATGCTGGAGCTGGAACTCAAGACCTCTGGGAGACTGAGCAGTATGTGCCCTTAACCACTGAGCTAACACTCTAGTACTTATTTTGTAGATTTTGACCTATGCTTCCTCATTCAACCTTGATTCAGGCCCTGGTAGCCATACTTGCTCTACATTTCCGTGTATCTTAATTAATTTCTAGAGTCTACATGCAAGTGTGATGATACTGTCTCTGTCCCACTTATTTCACTTAGAGTGCTATCTTCTAAGATTATCCATGCCATAGTAAAAGGCATGGTCTCTTGACCTAGGTTTGATTACTATCCCGTTGTTTATAACCATCAATGCTTGTCAGTGCTTATTTTTACCCACACATCTGTTATTTTCCTATCTTGGCTATTGTGAGTGGCACCACAGGGTACACAGCAGTGCAGTGTTTGTCCATACTTACGACATGGAGTTTTCATTTCTTTTTATCTCCTTTGGTCCGTCCTCTCCCTAAACATGCAAACCCACATCAAATCAGAGGCATCCTGGCTCCATGCTTTGCTATTTCCCCAAAGTGCTATAATTCTGCGGCTGCATGACCTGGCTGCCAGCATTCACATCAATACTGACAGCTATGCAGCAAGGCTCACATCAGCCAAACACCAGCAGTGCTCTGCCTGGGCTCATCGGCAACTTGTAATAAAGGGTGGGAGTGCAGGTTGGAGTCCACTTCATGCAAATGAAAACTATTGTCAAATGGGTGGGTCCCATTCTTCTCTCAATGGAATATTAAGATCTTTAGTTGTTTGTAGAGGGTATGGACTCCTTGGCTTCTAGTTTAACACCTTCCTGATTTTATAGCACCCAGGTTTCTTCACTTCTTATTTTCATATATCTTCTTCCATTTTTCTTCCTGGTAGGTTTAGAGTGAAGCAGCCCCCACCCAGCACTGGACTGAAAGTGACATATAAACCTGGGCCTGTAAGTCTATATGTTATCGAGGGTGTGTGTGTGTGTGTGTGTGTGTGTGTGTGTGTGTGTGTGTGTGTGTGTGTGTGTGTTGCATGCACACATGTGAATATATGTGTTTCCAATGCAGTTGCCTTTTTGGTTGTGAGCCTAGCCTTCAATGGCTGAGCCATCTCTCCAGACCTGCAGTTGCCTTTTATATCATTCTGATTCCCAGTTTAGACCATGAGTAGGTCGACTTTTTCTAGTTTCATAAGGAAGAGATTCCCTAGATTGGTCCACTCTCTGGCTCTATGTCATTATTCCACATAGGAGCCATGACAAGAATGCTGAATAAAGAGTTTAACTTCAGCTGGAAACATGTGAGACGCTCCCCTCAGTCAGCCCAGGAGCACAATTATGTACAGTCATGTGTGAATGACCTTTTAGAAATTGAATTCTTTGCCAGTGGAGAGTTGGCTGGGTGGTTAGGAGTACATGCTGTTCCTAGTACTTAACCTAGCAGCTCACAACTACCTGTAGTTCTAGTTCCAGGGGATCCAACAGTCTTCCCTGATCTCCATAGACTCTGTATGGATGCAGTACACAGACATACATGCAGAAAATATATATGTGTGTGTATGTATGTATATATGTATGTATGTACACACACACACACACACACACACACACACACACACCATGTATATTAAAACAAAGAAACTGACCTAGAGGTGGTGGCGGCACATGCCTTTAATCCTAGAACTCGGGAGGCAGAGGCAGGTGGATCTTTGTGAGTTCGAGACCAGCCTGAACTATAAGAGCTAGTTCCAGGACAGGCTCCAAAGCTACACAGGGAAACCCTGTCTCGAAAAAACAAAAAACAAAACAAAACAAAAATTTGAATTCTTCTGAAAAGTGGCCCATCCTCCATGAAAATAACCATTCTGGTCTTTGTACTTTATATAATCTGGCTTGTTCTCTCATGCTTCCCAGAGAATATCATCTAACAAAATAATAGGGAATCACATTATTTTATTAGAGTCATCAGCTGTTTTATTTCTCCAAAGCTCTCAAAACACAAACTTTAAAATGTCAAACTGTAAAACAAGAAATCTGGGGCTATGCCAAGGTACTGTCACATTTGGTTACATGAAATGTGCGTCTCTCTTCAGTGTTCTCAACAAGAAAGATGAATGCTTGAGGTGATGGATATGCTAATTACCCAGGATGAGCATCACTAACTGTGTGCACACTATCAAACATCACACCACACCCTGTAAATATGGGCACTTCCATGTTTCAATTAAAGATAAACACCGTAAGAGAAATGAAAATAAAAAAATCAAATCCAAATCCATCTGACTTTGCTACATTCTCAAAAATGGTGTGGTTAAAAAGTGAATATTAATTTTTATTCCTATTTACATTAATGGTAAAATTTAGAAATATAAGATAAATACACATTTATCTCAGGTTATCATTGAACCACACTTGTAAGCACACCATACGGTTGCTTCACCAGCCCTTGTATCTCTCCGCAAATGCTGACTCCTGTTGTGCCCACCGTAGAGCCAGAACACGGAAAGGATGTTAAAAATGACATCCCGACACCTAACAGGGTCAGGCATGTAGCAGGAACTTAGGCAAGTCTGACCAGAATGAAGAAGGAACTCTAGAGGGCCTATGAATCGCTAGGCACAGAGTGTGTGTGTAGGCTCAGGAGAACAGGCAGCAAGGGCATGTAATCCCCAGGGCAAGCAAAGGGAAGACACTAAAGCAGCCACACTTGTTGTTTACACAGCGGGATCAACAGTGCACACAGAGCCCATCAGCTTCTTGTGATAACTGCCTCGCACCAGGCAAGGTTGGTTATCGCTGCTCTTGGGTCTTATTTCCCTCATCTGTAAAGGAAGCATGTAGACCATATGTTCTTAGCCCAGGCCTAGTTTGTATATCTCACAATCTATAGCAAAACAGTAGGACACAGGCTGAAGCTTCAGACGAAGATGTGCCAACCTTGACATTACATCCACCACTCCATGCCTATTTATTTCTCTGAAATTACTCACCGTGTGTGATGTCAAGATTTCAGAATCCTAGGGCCAGTGCAATGGCTCAGCAGGTTAAGGTGCTTGCCACCAAGCCCCACAACCCAAGTTTGATCTCCAGACTCCGTGTGCTGAACCAACTCCTGAAAGTTGTCCTCTAACCTCTACATACACCTCTCTGGCAAACATGTGAGTCCACATACAAGCCTGTGTTCTCATATCCCCCAAATAAACATATATTAAAAAGAGGTCAGATTCTTCACAACAGAAAAAAGAAAAATATCAAAGCTATTGTGAGAAGTTAGTAAATCTCATTTGTTTTATGAGTAAATCTCATTGTAAAGGACAGATCATTCTAACAGCTAAGTGTCTGCTGGATCAACCTTTTGAACCAGTAAAAACTCAGAGTATATTCTTTGAAGCTCATTGTACTATAAGGGTATTTCTTTCCCCTTTTGACAGTAGGTTTTGGCTCTGACCAAAAAAAAAAAATATATAATCTATAGTCTTGTGTCTATATAAGTCTAACCACTGTTCAGCTTGGTTAGCTGCCAGCACTAAATGAATGCGCTCCAAGCCTGGGTAAACTGCACTGTGGCACTACTCCAGCTCTCCTGTGGAATTTCATCATGACCTAGTCCTTCTGATTGTTGGGCTTGGAGGACCATGCCTGGGACTCTCAGAAATGGTCTCTGGATCTCCTCCAGCATGAGCACACACACACCCATGGAAAAAATGGAAACATTTTTCAATTCTATTATTTATAAAACTATATTTTAAATTTCCATTTGTATCTAATTGCTTTCCATGTGGCGGTGTATGATTTATTTTTTTCCAGATAACTGTTCCCAAGTCTGCTTTTTAACCCACCTCCTGGAGAGGCTGCTTAGAAACATAAACGCCTCTCCCTCTCCTGGCTAGTGTGCCTTCCAAGAACAAGGCAAGCAGTCCAATGCCTTGCTGCAACTCTTGACTATATATTGGGTTTCTTCTTTGTTGGTACAAACCCCTTCCTTGCTTTTAGACCCACGCAGCTTGGCATCTACACTCGTTCTGTCTCCCTCTACTGGCCCTGTCATCCCACACATCCTATATTAGAATCCTAGAGACCAAGTGGCAGGAGAGTCATCAGGTTTCTTATACTACATTCATATTTTTCTTGGATGAAGTTTACCTTTATCAGCCAGAAGACAGAAACTAACGACCAACACTCAAGAAATAGGATGAATGTAAGGACACGACTTAAGGTTCTGGGGTCAGAAATTGAATTGTGAATCTTAGTAATGAGATCCCAGTCAGAGTCAGAGATAGAAAAATTTAAAGGGTTCTCTATACATAGCTAATGTTTGAGACTCTGAGAAAGAGAAATTTGGCATCTGTTTAGGGAGCAAGAAGAAGAGGGGCCAGTGAAGATAGAAGAATAAATCGGGAGGAAAAAGGTTGGGGGTATTGCAGTAGCTTCCCTTCACTTCCAACACCCTGTCATTTAGTCCTTCCCTGACCCCTGACATCACCTGGTTTGTGCCTTTGGGTCAGTCAGTGTAAAAAGAAACAAGGTTGTCCTGGCTCACAGCTTCAGAGGTGTCACTTTGTGATCATATGGCCCTGTGTTTGGGGGTCTGTGGAATATCAGGGCAGAGACACATGGGAGAGCAAAGCTGCTTTCTTCATGACTTCTAGGAAGCAGAGAAAAAGAGGAGAGGTCAAGGGCACACCCTCAATGACCTCATTTCCTTGTACTAGGCCCACATCAGCTCTTGACAGTACAACAGGCTGACACCAAACTTGTACTGTGTGCACTTTGTGCATGTTCCAGATACAAACTCCAATACCCTTCAGAAGCTTGTCTTCAGTCCCATTTATTTCCTGGAATTCTACACTATTCTATATAATTCTGACATACGTTTCTTGCCCACAGAGGGACTGTGGAAATGTGACCACTGGGGTGACAAGACAATAAAGGAAAGATAGACACACAGACACACATACAGAAAAGCAGGGATCAGGTGGGCCGTATGGTGGTGGAGATGTAGCGCCAGCAGCCTGGAAACAGCATATTTAGCTATACATCTGAATGGAAGAGGCAGGTTTGGGTTTTTTTTTTTATATATGTGGGTGAATAAGGAGGTAGGTTTAGCTGATCTTGGTTTTGAGATCTCCACAGTAAACATTCTAGAAGAGGAAGCTGCTGTAGATGCCTTCTACACTTACTGTCAACATTCACACACTGACCAAGGGTCAGCAAAAGGTTTAGCCATCCCAATGGGTCTGAGGCTTTGGAGTCTTGACATGGGCATGCTCCTGGCAGTGATACACATTTACTCAGGACTTCACTCAGCCCTCACACATAATGCTAATATTTATTAATGCAACATTCATGGATGAGAAAACTGAAGTTTAGAGCATTTGGGTATACTGTCCAAATTAGTTTTAAAACCAGTATTTGATGTCTTACAGGTGGCTGCTGGTTTGCATGCAGAGCTAAAGGTGGAGCTATTTGCCATGGCTGTTGGAGAAGATGGTGCCAAGGGATCAGCACACATCTCCCACAATATTGAGATCATGACAGAGCATGATATTCTATTATTACCAGTGGAAGCAAATATCCTTCAAAGCTCACTTTTTATAACCATGCATAGTACAGAAATAATGAAATGAATTAGGAAAACATGAAGAACAAAATGACCATTAGTTCTTCACTAGGCCAAAAACTATTCATCGGATGGCAACAGCAGATATGGGGGCCATGGATGGGTGATGTAAGCATGAAACGGCAAAAACCAAAGTGGAACTTACTAAGGTAGATGTAAAGACATGACTTAAGTCCACTTTAGCATAAGAAACTGAATTGCAGCTCTTAGTAATGAGGTCTCAGCCAAAACATAGGAGCTGGCAATAGAAATTTTCACTAGCCCTTTTTCTACATGTAGCTGATGTTTGAAGGTATGGGAAAGAGGAATCTGGGATTTATTTAGGGAACAGAGCGAGAGGGGACAATGGAACCAGAGAATGTTACCTTAATGATATAACCAAGAAGAAGACTTTTTGTTTAGTTAGATCATTTCACGGCTTGATAACAGCGAAGGGAAGTATATGAAACATGACTAAAAGGAACTAAATGGCACTATCCTATAGAGGACAGGCAAGGACTAGAGGTGAAGGGCTAGGCTTGATGAGGGAGGAGGATGAAGACAGCTGAGGCCTGACGCATGGAGATGGGGTGAAAGCTGGGGGATGCGTCAAACAAGCTTCATGTCAGCAGAAATGGAAGTGAGTTCATTTGTCCATCTATTCTTTCAAGGGTGTCTCTAAAAGACAGCCACGGTGTCCACTTACCAGTTAGAGATACATAGACGAGAAAATGGTTCTATTAAATTTTTTATTTCCTAAAGATGGCTCACAGCCAGTGTTCCAAAATCAAGACCTATCCCTACCCTGACTGCATGAAATCACCTTGTTGATAAGGTCTGGGTACTGGTGGTGACGGTCTCTCATAGACAGGCCAGGAAACTGGGGGAAAAAAAAACACACTATGGAGAAAAGAAGTTGTGCTAAAGAACAAGGATCCAACTCATGTACCTAAGAATTTGCCTTACACAGAAGGGTACCTCCATGCTGCTGGAGACTATGATTTTAAAACATCATTTGAACTGTGAAACTCATAGTCCTTAATGAGTATTTTACTAGTTTTAACAAGCCGTAACTATGACAATCGACCCAAAGATTTTCCCCAAGGAAAAGAAAACCCCACGGTCTACAGGATTTCCACAATCTCCTCCTCTGCACTTGGAGTCTTCACATCTCGCAAGGCCACTCATCGTTAGGACCTGTAAGTAGTAAGTGCCATCTGGTCAACCACTCCAACCTGACCTCACAGTATTCAGACATCAGGCATTCCCCCTGATCTCTTACAGCTGAAAATGAAAATATTTTTTTAGAATTTACCTTTATTATTTTGGGCTCACAGACTCCTTTTATGGCTGTACTATTGGTCCCAAGGGCTTTATTTACATGGGTACAATTTATTAATACTTACCAAAGAAGAATTAAAACTAGGAAATTTAAAATTCTATTTGAACAACTAGTGAATGCTATATGTAAAATACTTAGTTTAACAATCAGTTTTCCTTTTTTAAAGAGGACAGATTTATCTCTGTTTTAGAACTGTCAGTACATCATTCATAGCAGGTGATGCTAGAGCAGATCAGTCTATGTTACAGTGGTCCAGGAGGCAAACACGAGTTGTCAGGAAGGGTCTGAGAGCAGCCGCCAGTGACTGACTTCTTCCAGCAAAGCCCCACCTTGGAAAATTTCCACATCCCCCAAAATAGCACCACCACTATAGGCCAAGCAATCAAATCATGACCCTCTGAGAAATTTTACATATTAAAACATTACACTCTTGTCATCCAAATAGGCAAGACCATCTTATGAGGTGGCCTCGGTTTTTTCCCTTTTATTGAAAGTAGACTTTTCTTTTCACATTATGATTTCCCCTTCCTCTACTCCTCCCAGCTTGTCCCCACCTCTGGCCCCATCCAGATCCACTCCCTTTCTGTCTCTCATTAGAAAACAAAGAGGCTTCTGCAGGGGTTAATAATAAAATAAAACTATCACATTGGAGTTGGACATGACAAACAGAAGGAAAAGAGTCAAAGAGAAGGCACAAAAATTAAGAGACACACTCATCCACACACCCAGGAATCCTGTAAAAACACTAACCTGGAAGTCATAGCATTTACACAGAGGACCTGGTACAGCTGTGCAAGCCCTGTGCCTCCTACCTCAGTCTCTGAGAGCTCATATATGCATTTATCATGTTGATTTAGAGGGACTTGTTTCCTTGGTGTCTCTCTTCTTCCCTGACTCTTACATTCTTTCCACTTCCTCTTGCACTGGGTTCTCTAAGCCATGAAGGGAGGGATTTGATAAACATCCCATTTAGGGCTGAGTGTCCCAAGGTCTCTTACTCTGCATAAGGCCCAGCTGTGGATCTCTGTGTTTGTTGCCATCTACTGCAGGAGGAAGCGTCTCTGATGATGACTAAACAATGTACTTATCTACGAGTAATTAGGAGTTATAGAAGTTATTAATTGCTACTTTCTTTTAGAATAGTAGTATTTGGTTTTATCCTAGGTCCCTGGTCTATCTAGTCTCTGGTTCTTGGTCAAACAGTATTGGTTATGGGATCCATCTCATGGAGTGGGCCTTAAGTCAAAGCAGATATTGATTGGTTACACACACAAGCTTTGTGCCAATATTGCCCTAGCGTATCTTGCAGGCAGGACATCATTATTGAACAAAGGGTTTGTGGATGGCTTGGTATTTATATCTCTCTTTTGGTCGTGTGCTGAGTTCCTTCCTGTACCAAAATATTAGAACACAGGGATGTGTTCTATGTACACACCAGCTTGACTTTTCTTTGTTTAATGAGTTGTAGGTGTTGTGTTCAGCAATGGTGACTGGGTGTCAGTTTGTGCAGAGAAACCTATAGTCTTGGCAACAGTCTGGATTGTTCATGAAACTTCTTTAGCCATCAACTCAATTAGATGTAACCCAATCCTAGCACTGGAAGCTTAACTGGTGACAAGAAATAGCCAGTTGGAACTGTCTCCCCCATTGGCAATTTCATTTAGAGTGCCTTCATATAGGTGTATATTTTAGGATGCCTCTATTACATTAGGTTTCCATACTACCCTTCAAATGTCCCTTGATTTTAGCTGTGCTTTCTTTTATTCCTGCCTTTGCCCATCTCCCCCACTTGATCCTCCTGGTCCAGTCTCCCCCCAACATCCATCTATATCTACTCAATTTCCCTTCCTAACAAGCTCTATCTGCACTTTCTTGTGCCTTACTAAATACCCAACTTCTGAGATTCTGCAGATTGTAGCTTAGTTATCATTGGCTTAACAGCTAATATTCCATATAAGCAAATACATACCAGATTTGTGTCTCTGGGTCTGGGATTCCTCACTCAGGACGTTTTTTTTCTAGTTCCATCCATTTACCCGCATTTTTTTTTAACAGCTGAGTAGTACTCCACTGTGTAAATGTACTACATTTTCTTTATCCATTCTTCTGTTGGGAAGCATCTAGGTTGATTCCATTTTCTTGCTGTCATGAATAGAACAGCAATGAACATGGTCTAGCAAGTGTGTCTGTGGTAGGTTGAAGCATCCTTGAGGTATAGGCCCAAGAGTAGTATAGCTGTATCTTAAAGTAGATTGACTCCCCTCTTCCTAAAGAACCACCACACTGATTTCCATTGCGGATGTAAAAGATAGCATTCCCACCAGCAATGGAGGAAGGGGTGTTTCCCTCCTCCCATATCCTTGCTAACATGAACTGTCACTTATTTGATCTTAGCCACTGCAACAGGTGTAAAATAAATCTCAGTAGTTTTGATTTGCATTTCCCTGATGGCTAATGATGTTGAACATTTCTTTTAAGTGTTTCTCAGTCATTTATGTTTCCTCTATTGAGAATTGTGTACCCCATTTTCTAATTGGGTTGTTTCCTTGATGTCTAGTTTTTCAATTTAGGTATTTTGGGTATTAGCACTCTATTGGATGTGGAACTGGTTAAAAAAAAAAAAACAAACCAAAACTTTCCCCATTCCATAGGCTGCCTCATTGTCTGAATGATAGTATCTTTTGCCATGAAACAGCTTCTGTTTCACATGGTCACATTTATTATTGATTGTAGTACCTGTGCTAATGGTGTTCTGCTCAGAAATTCTTTTCCTGTGTCAATGAGTTGAAAGCTATTCCTCACTTTCTCTTCTATCAGGTTCAGGTTATCTGGTTTTATATTGAGAGTTGAAGTTAGATTTTATACAGGGCAATTAAGTATGGATCTATTTGGGTTCATCTACATGTGCACATCCAGTTGACTTGCACTATTTGTTGAGGATGCTTTCTTTTTCCAGTATATGTTTCTGGCTTATAGAAAATCAAGTGTCCATAGGTGTATGGGTTTGTCTGGGTCTTCAAATAGATTTAATGGTTCAACATGTCTGTTTGTGCCAATATCATGCTGGTTTTATGACTAGACTATAGCTTCGTAATACAACTTGAAATCAGAAATCCTGTAGTTTCTAATTATTTAGGGTTGTGTTTTGGCTATCTTTGTTTCTGTATGAAGCTGAACATTGTCCTTTCAATTTCTGTGAAAAACAGTATTGGAATTTTGTTGGCGATTGCATCAAATCTGTGAATTGCTTTCAGTAGGATGGCTGTTTTTATAATATCAACTTTGCCAATCATGAGCATGGAGGATCTTTCCATCTCACCTTAAGTTTTTTCTTTTTTTTAACTTTTCATTTTACATATCAACCCGTTTCCCCTCCCTCCCTTTCTCCTGCCCTACTCCCTTCCCACCCCCATCCACTCCTCATAGGTGGTAAGGCCTTCCTTGTGGAGTCAACAAAATTCGTTGTACCAAGTTAGTTTTTATCATATGAATCTTTCACTTGCTTGATTAGCATAACCCCAAGATATTTTATATTATATGAGGCTATTGTAAAAGGTGTCATTTCCTTGAGTCCTTTCTCGATCCATTCATCATTTGTATGTAAGAAGACTACCAATTAAATAAGTCACTGCTTTCTGAAATGAAAATGTAGCAGTGTTACTGTTTTAAATTCTTAGAAAACTTGTCAGCATCAAGCTCTTGAGATTTTTGTGATCTGCTGTTCTAAGTATGTTCCTAAGTCACACATCATAAAGTCTCTGAAAATTCCGCGCTTTGTCCACTAGAGTGAGATGCAAAGGTAATGACAACTTCTATCCATTTCCTGGGGCTCCACACTGAACACAATAAATTACCATAGTCATTCTTTCTTAGTTTGCTGGCCCAAGTTTTAAACTCCAGGCACCAACAGTAGCAGGGTTGGTTCCTTCTGGAGGTTCTGGGGGATAGTTTTGTTAAAGTGTCTAGATGCAAGTATTAGCATTACTCCATCCTTTGCCCTTTTCATATAGTACATTCCTTGTCAGTTTCTCTGTACCACCCCTTATAAGGATTAATTAGAAGCTACCCTCATCCTGAATGACTCCATATTCGCAGATCATTTTACAAACAAGGTCACATTTACAGGTTTCATTAGATAGGAATTTTGGAAGACAAACTTAGTATTGCCTTCCCTCTTGTCCTTATCTTAAGAAGATATAAATTCCCCGCAAAGAAAAGCCCAGATTCAGAGGTATCTGAGTCCATCTCCTTTTCTAGACATCTCTACATCCCTAAATTCCTACCCATGTAGACATACATATATTTACACCAGACCACTTCCCCTATTATTCAGGCAGTCAGCAAGACATTTTAATGAAAAAGATATTTAATTCCCCAAAGTACAAATAGCATTATGATCTTCTTATATACAGACTCAACAACCTGCACTAGCTTAAGCTCTAGATATTTTTATCATCCCTTTCAGCCCTGAAGTTCATGGTACTTCATTTAGAAGACAATAATACACATGATTATCTCAAATGGAAAAGCTCTAAGACAAATAATCTTCCATAAATATGAGACACTCCCAAAATGTCTATTCCACTCATGAACAAAATATACTGTTAAAAAAAAACCTATTGATTTCAAAACTAAATCTGTCCAGTCCAAAAGATGGGAGCCAGAACACACAGCCATGTGGGATTTCCTCAGCCAAAACTGACGGCTGTACCCCAAGATCTACAACATGATCTTTTTCAATATTTTTAAGATGCCAGCTTAGTTTACATGTTCCTTAAAGTTTAAGGGAAGCAGGAAAAGACAGAGCCTTTCAGTTCTAAGTCAATGTTAAAATCATCTTCTTCCTGTTTTTTCGCTTCCTTTTCTTCTCTTCCAAGTGACTAGTAGCTTCAGCAAAAAACATAACTTCACTCTTTGCTTCACACTCTCTCTTGAGATAATCGAGACCTGCCATATTGAAGCCAATAACATCCTAGAGAGGAACACAAGAAAGTAAATGGAATTCTTTGCTGTTTAGACAATGCAGCAGTGTCTGAGTATGTGTAGCCATATTTCTTTCCCTCGCTAAGGACTTTTGTTGTTGGAGGTTTAAAAATTCTGTTTGTACTAATGCCAACAGCAAGCTTATCCTAAGTACAGGTTTGGAGTTGTGCATTTGGTATTGTCTGTTTGATATTGTGACAAAGAGGGCCTAGCATATAGAACCTTTTAGGGCACATGTCTATAACAGGCACTTACCTGGACTTGCCTGACTTTTGAAATAGTTGTTTCCTTTAGTTTCTCTATCACAGGCACAAGCATCTGGTTGCTTGTGATCTGGCCAAAGTGAATCCTAAAAGAAAAAAGTCATGCTACAAAGAGAGGTTCTAGCCCTATCATTTCCCCCAAGAAATAGTAAACAGATGACAAGACATAGATCCAATTCACCAAAATGAGGGTAGAACACAGGCTTCTAACAAACTCAACCAATCAACAAAAACAAGAACAACAATCACAGGAGATTCCCACCATTTAGTTTGATAATTTGAAAAATACTACGCTAAACCCAATGGCACACTCACATCTTTTCTCAGAAATCTACACTTGACCAGAGAGATCATGACAATGAAGTTTCTAGAGATAGAATGGAATCTATTAAAAATGCTAACTAACACAGGGACTGGGAGTTAGCTCAGCGAGTAGGATGCTTGCCATATAAGCACAAGGACCTGAGTTTTATCCTCAGCACCCATGGAAAAAGCTGAACATGGTGGATCATCATTGTAATCCCAGCACCTAAGCAAGACTGCTATCAGTTTGGCCAGTCCAGGCCATATGGTGAGTCCAAGGTCAGCCTGGACTAAAATGAAACCCTGACTCAAAAAAAAAAAAGAATAAGGCTAGCTAGGTAGCATATATCTGTAACCCCAGCCTTTAGAATGTAGAGGCAGGCAAATCTAAGGCCAGCCTGGTCTACACACATGTTACATAGCAGACAAGGACATACAGTGAGATCCTGTCTCAAAATAGGCAAAATCAGGCCAATTCCTCAAATGTTTAAGTCATTTCACCAAATGCTGTTGAACTACAGATCCTTAGTTTCCCTTCTTATGTCCCCTCTACTTTCATTTGTGTCTCGACACCTCGAGAAATTTACTGGCTATTCTTTAAAATGTTGTGAGAACAAAACTTAAGCTCATCAGTTTAAAAGCAAAATAAATGGAGCAAACTGGCTAATAAACAACCTAGCATCACATTAAGCTGCATCCTGAGCTGCATCTTACAGTCTTACCAAAACATGTGACTTTAAAAAGTAGGTCATCAGGATCTTTGTTTTAAAGGCAAAAACAATCACCTAAAGGTAAACTATTTTCTAACAGTTTCTGATACTGAAACCCAGAATTATTAATCTCAAATAATGCCAGCTTCAGCTAGCCCACAGGTGGAGCGGTCTGGCTGAATAGACAGGATTTGTAAAAACATGTTACCTGAGGAGAAAAAAGAGGCACCGGCACAGAAGTTCGATATCAGAGCCCATCTGGATGAATTCATTGAATAATTTCAGAATGTCTGGGACATAAGAGAATGGCAGCACAAGCAGAGCCTCTTCTAGTTCACTGAGGAGGAAAAACAAAACATTCCCTTTATTGTTTTTCCTGCTTTTATATTTGAGGAGATTCTGTCCATTCCAAGTTAAATATTCACCTACACTCAAAATGATTCTTCTGAATATTTTTCATACTTAACATTTCATCTTTTTAGGGAGTATTTTAGTTCCTGGATTAATGGGGGAAATATTAAGTGTTGCAAATAAACATTGTTCACAAAGTAATGTAGAAAAGTCCATTCTATTCCATCTTCATGATGTTTTTCTTATGCTATATATGCATATATACTGTTTATACTGTGAATTTATGTAATATATATATACATATACATATATACACACATATACAGTGTGTGTGTCACTACTCTGCATATATTGACTGTATATATATGGATGTATTTGTGGGTGTCTGTATTTCAAGGCTTTATAGAGTCTATAATGATGATTGTGCAATTGAGTGATTCTCACACTGATCCTTCACCATTTTAACTTTGCTTCTTCTAAAACTAGTTCCTGTATCATGGCATCAATCCTACCCAGAAATTTCAAAAGGATTTCAGTTTGGATCAGAAATTTCTTCCTTGGTTTAAGAATTCTAACTACTTGCAACAGAACCCTCCCATCTTGGAATATATTACTATACCTCCACTATCAAGTTCCCTTTTTTTTTTTAGTGCAAACTCAGTATAATCCTAAGACAGTTCTATTCCCTTTTAAAAGGGTTATACAAGTACATGTTTCAATTTATGAAAATTATGAAAGTAGTCAGACTAACTACCCTAGAACACAAAGAACAGCAACTACAACTTTACACACTTGAGGACTGTAACTTTTAATAAAATGAATATATTAAAATATTCAATAAGAGCACAGACACATATACAAATTTATTGAGACATTATTGATAATAGCAAAAATAAGAAATGCAGCAAACAATAATTGTACTGCAGGAGATGTTCAACAATCTCATGTGTTTTTAAAAAGTATTAATAATGTGAGCAAATGTTCAAGGCCTAAGTGAAAAAGAGTAAGATACAAACCTATACTGTGACTCTCTGCAGCTTGTGTAGCCTAATTGGTTAGTGTGAGGCACTTAAAATAAGATTCCAGTTGTGTACATACACAAAATAAGTGGAACAAAATACACACCAAAACAGGTTCCAAAGTGGTATCTGATTGAGTATTTACTATTTATTACCTATAACTATTTATTGCCTATAACTTTGTCCTTCAGAATACCCTTCATACTCCTGGTTTCTTATACTTCCAAAGTGTGTTATAAAGAATTGTTTTCCATTAAAACTTTGACATAATTAAAAGGAAGGTTAAGTATCAGTGCCACCATTTACTTCTACTCAGACACTCCATGACTGTCCTGGTGAGTTACAGAGCACAGGGACTTACCTCGACTTGACCCGTTTAAAAGTCTCTAACACATATGCCGAAGGCTGCAAAGGAAGGACAGCAGCATTAGTGAAGCTCTCACGTGTTCTCCACCAGGGTGCTCAGTCCATCCCGCTTGAGAAAAATGGTCTAACATGGCAGATCTGGGGTTATAATTAAGCTATCTCCTTTATTGACTATGCTTCCTTGTAACCTGGGCCTGTTTCATGTCTATACAATGAAGATATTCTGAGATTATTCTAATGAATGAGATATGTAAGTAAAATAGCATATAATTAGCAACTCCTAGATGAACACATTCTCCCAATACATCTCCTCCCTTCTTCATGATGGGCTTTGTCAATTGTTCCTCTAAAGATTTCTATCTGAGTTCATTTAAATGAATGTGGATTCAGAATGTAAGGAAGCACGAGAGGAGGACCCAGACACTTCCTTGGGAGGCTCTTCATTAGTAGCCCTTTGAGATACAAGCTGTTTTAGAGGACACCAAGATTCAGGAAAGTCTTTTGGAGACAAAGGACTTCCTAGGGCATCTACCCCCAAATCACATTGCCTTGTCACTCCCTTTCTTGAAGCACCAAAGGAGAAACAGACACCCTACTCACCGAAATATTGCCATGAGCCATCAGGATGGGGTTGACAGGAAGAGGAACCTATGAAGTTATTAAGCCAAATCATTACAAATAGGTTTCGATGGGGCATTAGTGACATTTTAAAACTTTGAAAAAGACCCTAAAAACCAGAAGGAATAAAAAAAAAAGACACCTTGCAGTTTTGAATGAATGGACGAATGTGTTTGGGCAGTATAGTTTATCACAAAATTAGAAGCTGATATCTTGTTTTGCAAACCCGTATAGGGACACACATTTATACCAATCACCTTGATCTATTATTTCCTATCCTTCCTTTTTCTATACAGAAGCCTCTTTGCTTCCCGGTTCCCCTACTTCTTTTAATACTTGAATTACATAGTACTTACTGCCTTTACCACATTTCCTTACCTACGTTAACTCTGAAACAGCCTCCTTTGGAATTCTTTTTATAGACTTCCCAGTGTGTAATTTGATGGACAAACTCACCTCTTTCCCTGCTGCTCTACAAATGGCTTTGTGTTCTTTCATTTTTGCAGTTTCTTCTCGGTACAGCTCGATGGCCTCCATGATCCTCTCAGCCTACATAGATGATGGCAAAGAAAAAACAATTATCCCAGCACACACCCCATCAACTCAAGACATAGAAACGGGAAGACATGGCTAATGATAGCCTGAATCGGCTTAATAAAGACATGCCAGTTAGAGTGCAATGCAGCATTTCTAGTTGTCAGTATTTTTTTCTCATTTTTAATTTTTAAGAAAGAGAAAAAATACCAGGCACTCAGATGAGGCCATATCTGGACACAACAGAGCAGCTCCTGGGAACACCAAAGGTGTACTTCAGGAGGAGATGAGCTTATCACTAAGAGCCACACCCTGGTCAGATGCAAGACCAAGAGCATCAGGCACAGGTGATGACTGGCACCTGGAGTTCCTCAACTTTTGTGCCATGCAGGGCTATGCGGCCGACACGGGATAAGTCTTTTACTAAAAAGTCAGAATCCCATTACAAGATGATACAGCACTCTGCCAACTTACTGCTTTGACTGTTTCAATTGTTTTCTTCCCAGTGAAGTAATTGTCACCTTGAGTCTCCCCTGGAACCTGCCAGAAATAAGAGATCCTAAACAAGATGGGCATTATTTTATAAAAATACCACAGTCACTATTTCCCATTGAGGATAGGCACAATAGTAAATCTTTTATTTGTATCATCAAAAGCATTATCCTGCAAATGTTTATAAATCTTTGTGATTTAAATTTTGTCCTGCTCAATAAATATTCTAATTCCTCATAAAGTTCCATTCAAAAAAGAAAAAGCCATAATGATAAGAATCCTCATACAAGCTGGTCACAAAACTAACTTTCTAATTGAATAAAACATTACCTAGATTCTCACATTAGCTGGTAGTGCCTCTGGCATCTATTCTCAATTCCTCTCCTATTACAAGTTCTTGAAATTACATAATTTCAGTATCCCAAAAGATTCACTTACTGCTGGCTGGTCTTCTTTGGCCACACTCTCCTCATACTCTGCTTCCCTTTGCTGCCAAGAGACACACAGAAGTTAAATGACAGAATGAAGTAATGGGAAGGGCTTCTTTCAAAGTCTCACGATGCCAATGACACTCGTGTCAACCCTGCTTCTGGAATGGGTGGCACTGGTCTTGGAAACACTTCTTGTATGACTGTGACCACACTGCACAGGAAACTTCTCCCACCAAACATGAAAATAAATTTAAAGTTCTTACCATTTCCCTTTCTTCCTCAAGAATAAGAGGCTCTCTCGTTCTCTCCCAGAGTCTCAGCGATTTGTCATGAGATGCTGATACAACATAGTCTCCGCTGGGGCTGACAGCCAAACACCAAATTTCCTGATGGTGCCCCTGGACAATGAGAAACCAAACCGACCCCAGGAAATATAACTTACTCATTATTTACTACCTGCTTATGCTAGTAGGCAAGGTAAATATTCTTACAGGAAGTCCTTAAAGTACTGATCAGACACACAGGCAAGGGTTACCTCCAGCGTTTGGATGTGTTCAAACTTGTCTGCGTCCCACTGCTTGATCTTGCGGTCCTTCCCAGCAGTGAAGAAGAGGTGAGACTTAGGCACAAACCGTAGGTACATCACACTAAGAGTGGAGAGGTAGGTATCAGGAACTCTGGGTCAGCAAGCTAGGGTACTCTTACACTACTTGGGAATGCCTATTTTCTGGAACTTTCAATTTATCACTATCTGAGACCATCAAATATACCTTTTCAGAAGACTACACCTACCTGTCATCATGTGCAAAGAGCGACCTGTGGCAGTCCCCAAAGTCCAGGCCCCAGATTTTCACATTTCTATCAGCAGAGCCAGTTGCTATTAGTGCTCCATCCTATGACACAGAGACAAAATATTATGTAATGTTTCATTAAACTAGACACTTATTAAAAGCTATCCAGAATATCTATCCCATTTCCTTAAAAACATTAAAAAAGGGCAAAAAAATTGTCACCTCTATCCAAAATACCCGTGATTGACCCTCTAGAGCTTCTCAAAGCTTGGAAAGGGAGAGCATGGACTATGAACTCTGCCCCTTTCACAGGAGAATGCCACAGCACAGTGCTGTGCTTAGTGTCAGGTGATCTGTTTATTCAACTAAATACGAAAAGAGGTGGCTCTGATCTCTGGAATGAGATCTGTGGGGATAGTAGGAAAAGTAAAGAGAAAATGAGGCTGGAGAAGAACCTACCTAGCCTTGGATCCCACACCCCCATCACTATTCCCTCATGTCTAAGTTCAAATGGCTGTGTTAATACAAGGGTCTCACAGCTATGGGCTTCATTAGTTTCATTAGTTCCCTTTTGGTGCAAAAGTAGACACTTTGCAAACACATATTCTCACTTGCAATCACTAGGGGGAAATGTGATTCTGAAGATAGTATTCCTATAATGCAGAATACTACACTGCTCAAATCCTCACCAGTGTTATCCTACAGCAAAGGGCGCCTCTGTAAAGTCAGCTAATTTAGGATATTCTCCCAATTGGGGAATTTAGAGCAGCAACCTGCCAGGACTTAGACAGTATTTAGGAAACATTAGCAAGTGTGTGCTGTAACTATAATACAGACTCTTGGGAGGAAGGTGTAATAAACACCACAGAGTGACGCAAGCACTGTACAATTAAGTAGCACACCCGAATTGAGAACAGTGTCTGGTTGGAAGAAGACAACCCACAAACGTTACTTACATGGGAGATGTCCATGCATATAACAGGCAGTTTGTGTCCATACAGTGAGAGAAAAAACTAAACATAAAGAAAGAACAAAAATCATTCGTGTTTGTCTATGGCTACAATTTGTTACACATGGAGCCAAATATAAATTTATAATACTTAACACATTTCTGGACTGGTTGCTAAGTGCGCCTGTGTCCACTATGCAGACCCTACATGTATTTGAAAAAAATACTGAAGGCCCACTGAAGGAAGTCAGGCTCCCCAAAACCTACACTTTACAGTCCACCCACACAGCTCTCTGGGACAGTTCTCTCACAAATTATCCTGAGGCCAAGTGCAGTCTTAAGACTTGGGGTGTAAGGTCCAGGAGCCTGTATCTAGCTATACTAATAAAGCTAATAGCTACGACAGGACAGGGCATCTGTCTAAAGATCTTCTGAACACATGAGCTAGTGCTTGCTTTAAACAAAACTGATGAACTCTGTGACACTATTAGTTTCTCTAGTACACTTACTGTTATGATAGACAGTTTTAGAAATATACTATTTCTGGCTATCATTCCAATTTTTTCCTTATACTGAAAAGAGTCTTTTCTCACATTATATATCCTGATTAGTTTCTCCTCCCATCCAGATTCACTTCCTTTCTGTCTCTCAATAGAAAAGAATAGGCTTCTAACAGATAATAATAAAATATAACAAAATAAAAAATGATTAAGAAAAACTATCACAATGGATCATTCCAAATTCTTAAGGTTATACAGAAAGACTATTCCCAGTCAAAACCACTGTACCTTTAAAGTGTCAACATAGAAAATCTTCACAGTGCAGTCCAGCAAAGATACAGCCAACAGCTTTTGATTGGGAGAGTAACTGACACACAAGACATCCTCATCTAATTGCAAGGTTCGAGTCTGCCTCACAGAAAGTCTACACAGATAGCATCAAGGGGGAAAAAATAACATGAGAACTCTACAGCACACAGTTCCAAACTATGACACAGATACACACACAAATCAACAGCTCTCCACACACAGATGGCCACTCACCTCTTCTGGGTACTGTTTTTATCTGTCACCAACTCAAAATCCCAGAACTTGACAGCTTTATCAGCACCACCTGTCACAAAGCCACGCTGAAAATTAAATGATACTTCAGTTAAAAAACTAGTTTAGCACAAAAACTTTGCTAGGTGCACACACCAAATAGTCTAAAACCCTTTTTACTTAATGGCAAATGACAAGAATTAAGAAAAATGTACCCGCTCCCACTGCTCTTCTGGGGCCACTGCCAGACCTCATTTGGGAATTCCAGCACAGACTACCACTGACAGACATGATCACTGAAGTCCTAGGTAATTTCCTGTTCTCATCATTAAGAAAAGCTTTTAAGGAATACTGTGGAGTTTTTGTTTTTTCTTTTTATCTTTACCTAAGACAGAGTCAAACGAATTTGCTACAAAGCAGTAAGATTAGTTTAATGAGCATGTATCAAGTGAACAGTCTGTTTCCAGTGTTCACCTCAGAAAGTTATAAACTATTCATGCAATGTCCCTGCTTCAAGAACCTTTGCAAAGATTTTCCAAATAAAAAACAATAATAAAGCAGTCTATTCTGCCCCTTCTCATAGCATACATATCCACATGTATATTATAGTAAGTGACAATAGCTACTGTCACTGAGAATATTTTGATAAATGCCAAAGTATTATCAAAAACAAAACATTGTCAGGCAGCGTCTCTATCAGGATCAACGTGCAGTTCTCCAGGTGATAGAGCGCTACAAATGCAAGCACTTATTACTGAGTCACCAGGCTCATGATTTGCTGAAGAATTTCTCTAGTCACCATTGGACTAAAGGGGAATAGGAAAGTGAACTTCACCATCTGCACTGTGTTAAAACGTTTCCCTCTGTCAAGTACCATACCACAAGCCACCATTTAAAAATAAGCCGTGGTACTGAGGATCAACAGCTGAACTAGACTCAACTAGGCAATGGAAGCTATTCCTATTACATGTGTGAGAGATGACATCTGTGAAATCTAAAAATCAAACACAGGGAGCTTTCTTTAATGCAACCTGGAAGGAAATTTCACAGGCAACTAAACTTGGCAGAATTAGATAATGCAGCCAGAGTGCTGAAGCCCAGAGCTTTAAAGCCAATTGTAGTTACCTGATCTGGAGAAAGAGACATGGACCACAGGGCTCCATCATGGGCAGCTATTGTCTCCAAGAGATTGCCCGAGGCCAGGTCATAAAGCTGCAGATTTCCGGTCTAGGAAAGTGAACAGAACTGTAAAGAGCACACCTACAACCTTCATGATTCATGCCTACAGAGTTTAGAAAAGCAGCAACAGTGTAGGTCAACTGCTCAGAAAATGGATCCTTTCTAAATACTGTCTGTATTCCTTATCTAGTTAATGTTGGCTAGACTGCTTTCATATACAGCTATGGAAAGAACAACCTTGTTCTTGACTCTGCTGTTTTCACTGGTTCCACAACTTCAAAAGGGAAATACCAAGGCAATTCAAATGGAAACTTAACTTTAAAGTTTCTCCCATGCTTTAAGTGGACCACCCAAGCCTATAGTAATTGTATACCAAGATTTTTTTCCCCACTGGTCTTGGATATACTGACAGTGAGAACTAAAACTCTGCCATGACTCCTGCCTAGGTATCTATATATGCCATGACCCTGATATCGACATTTAATAAGACACAGGCAAAAGCCTACTAACTGCATTTGTTTCTATATAACGTGGCAGACAGTGGAAGCAAGGTGACCTAAGTCCTAGACCTGCCTCGTTTCAACTTTATGACTGCTACAGAATTCATCTCCAGGAATTTGATTTTATAGAACATAGTTTGCATCTCTAGCATCTGAGAGATAACATGATCACAAGAGCGATGCAATAGTTGCCCCGTACCATTCAGGCCAGGGAATGCTCATTAGCTTTATAGCATTCTTCCTCAATGCAATCCACAAAACACTTTCCCAACAAACAGTACACGGACACTTGTTAAAGGATAGATGAAAATGGGCACAACTTTCAACTGGAATGTTGTTTCCTTAATAAGCAAGAAACACCCACTGTGGCATGTTGGTTTCTTAATAACATGTCTGTATATTTGACACAGGATTACAGAAAAAAGGATGACACATTTTTCAAAACACCCCACAACTTGAATACAGCCACAGCACTTGGAATCTTAAGTTTGAGGAAGCCTAGGCAACAAAGAAAATCTGTCTCACGACAAACACATGTCCTAATTCTATTTTATTCTTACTACTTGCATTTGCTGTGACCAGTCTCTATTGTGCACTCCAAAGAAAGCAAGGCTAACAGTGCTAAAGCAATTTTTCAAAGGTTACAAATTTACTAAGTGCCAGAATACTCAGATGGGTCTCTGCAAGTGTCATCGTTGCTATACAGATGAAGCAACATTCTCTAAGAAGTTTGAAAGACAATCTGCATCCAAATCCACATCTACTCCAGGCTGTGTCAAACTGATGACAATCTAAGAATGAAGACCTGTTCTGCTTGGCTTTATAATACCATGTTCTGACAAACCTGATAATATATTTTCATCAATTAAACACAATTATATACGTTTGTAAGATACATATAAGGATAATCATCAAAATGATGATGGCAGTTACCTCAGTATTGATAATGTCCTTCTTTATAATTTCAAAGATTATTTGACTTTTTTTAAACATGAGAAAAATTTTTGAAAACACCAAGAAAGTCAATAAACTATTATCTAATGTTAATGCATTACCAGCATGCTTTAAAAATCCAATTTCTCAAACATCTTTTGAGATGCTGAGTAGAGAAGCCCCAGCTTTACCTTTGTTCCTATGACCACCTGCCTATCACCAGGCACGAAGAAGGAACAGAGAGCATATTCACAAGGCATTGTGCGGATACACTGCAGGGTAGACCTACAGAATACAAGGGACATGGAGGTCATGATAAAGGAAGCTGATTTCCACTTTGAAGTCAGTGTTTTTAATGCACTGAACCACACACAGAGATTGGCATGACAGAAGGCAAGTCTAACTCTTGACTCACATTCATCTCCAATCAAGAAAGAAAATATTATGGGCCAAATTTGGATTTCTTTGAAGAAAGCTACCCATAAAGAAATGAGATCATGTGGGGTGGTGATAACTACTTTTTATATTTAGTATACTCTAACTATATAAAAGTTTTCTGTAATATAGTATGCTTTGTTATACCTGCTATAGCCTTGCATACTTCCTGTTTACTACACATGGATATAGACAAAGCTAAATTAGAAGAGATTAGATAAATGAACTAAATTAGCTAAATTAACATTATATGAGAGCACATAGAACATTCTTCTAGATGGTTCTAGTTTTTCAGTAAACTCTGAAGCAACATCATCAGCTTTAATGTATTTGAATTACTTGAGGTCTGAGGGAAAAGGAAGAGGTCAAACAGTGGAGAGAAGGAAAGAACAATGAGAATTCATGTTAATTTTGGAGGGCATTAGACTTGAATACAAAGGTGGTCACTGTATGCTTCTTTTAGCCAAAGCTCCAAATGAAGTTTACCTTACCCTAAGTTTTATTTTTTCATTTTATTTATGGAGAGGAGCAGGCACATATACACAGAAGGCAACTTGCAGGAGCCAGTTCTCACTTTCAACTATGCGGGTTCCAGGGGTCAAACTCAGGTCCCGAGTGGCAGGTCTTTACCTGCTGAGCAGTGTCACCAGCTCCACACCAAAATCTGATAATAGGCTCTGTAGAACTGCCAAATGCACGAACTGTATCTTCTGACTGAACTGTATTTAGGTTCTTGAGGATAAGAGCCAATCATCAAGCATACCAAAAACATTTCAAAGAAAAAGCATCACTCACAGACCTGTTCCATATCTTTATGGACTCAGCTGCAGCTGAAAGCACAGCTATATTATCCGAGCTGAATGACAGAGTGCGCACATCGCTGCGATGGCCTCCAATGGTGATCCTGCTTGTCCTGACAGGCTGAGGGGTTGGCAAGGATGTACTGAGTGAGTATAATTCCACCAAGTTGTTCTGCAGCAGGAAGACTGCCTTCAACTCCCCTTGAGGTGAATGAATCAGGTCAAAGGATCTGCAGGGGAAAGTCACCACAAACATTCCAGCTATGGTCTTGGCTTATGAAGTCAACATTTTTCTAAGAAAAGCTTAGCGATGTCAATCTGTAGTTTAACCATGTATATAAATCTTAGATAGAATATTGTTCTGGGTACTGAGCAGCAGTTGAACAGAGGCTTTAAAATTTTTTATTACTTTCAATTATTTGAGTTTGTACATGTGCACACACACACATGCATGGACCACAGCATGAGTGTGGAGGACAGGGGACAACTTGAAGGATCAAAGTCAGGCTATCAGACACAGCAGCAAGCACCTTTCTTTATACTTGTTGAAGCATCTCAGAGTCACAAGCATACATAGGCTTTTAAAGTAAAAAGAAAACTCTAGGCTTAGCTCTTAGTTTTAACACATGTTTTGTTTGTGTGTGCTGTACTGTGTGTGATTTAAAACTTTCTGAGCAATATCTGTTTTTCTTAATTGGCAGCCTGAAAGAATCAATAAGTAATAATAAAAAATGGACACATGGGCTTGTGACTGTGACATGATCACCACCTTCAAATGTAATTCACACACATGCTTGCAGATACAGTTAACAATGCCAGGGATACTTGGTGGCTTATTACTCTATAATACTTAGACACTGCATCTTCACCTACTTGATTTTGGAAGAAGTCTTGATACTGGCCACCCGATGGATCTCATCCTGCAGAGTCATTGTGACACTAGTCTCAGGGTCCTCCTCGCCACTGGCAGAGTTCAATCTAGGAAGGGAAACATACCAAAAGTATCACCTATCGATTTTCCAGGAGCATCCTCACTCTTACCAATCTACGCTCTTGCCCAGGGACAAACAAGTGGAGTCATTCTGGGGGAGCGGCCTGGCTACCAGGGTTACCCCAAGAACTAATTGAGCAGGCTACAGACCACTGGTCATCCTTCATAAACATACTGGGAATGCAACAGGCCCATAACATGTCCTGTAATCATTTGCTATCCCAGTCACTGCATTGAAGTGTTCATGATGGACTTCTCTAGCTGACTCTAGAACTTTCTCAACTAGTCTCTTATCTTACCTGCATATACTCAGAACTTGTCATGTGAGCCAGAACATATCTTACAACATTTGCCAGCAGATGATTTTAAAAATCACTTTTACATTTGATAAATCATCTATTAAAGAATTTTTCTCTTTGGTATGTTTGTGTGTGTGGAGGCCAGACACCCATGTAGGATGTCTGTCTTCCTCAACTGTGCTCCACTTTGAGACAGTGTCTCTTAGAGAACTTGGAGTCCTCTGGTTTTGCTCCTGGTTGGCCTGCCAGCTGCAGAAGTGTCCTGTCTGCACATCCCTGGCACTGGCACAGACACATTCCCAGTTTGCCTGGCTTTAAAAATCTGCAGTCTATTTCTGTGTGGGTCTTATTACAAGTCAGAAATGTGGTAGTAATAAAGAAGTATGAAAGAGAAATTCAAACCCTGTGGTACTGGTACCCCACAAATTCTCTAGTTTTTAGCTCTAAAAGGCAATCAAGTAAATATTTTCTTTAAAGGTCACAGTTTTTCTATAATATATGCTATCCAGGATGTTTTATTATCACTAAGTATTTTTTTTAAAAACATACTTTGCTCTCTTTCTAGCTTTCTTCAGTTTCTTATCCATTTTCTTCTGAATTTCTGCTTTGGAAAGGACACAAAATACTTCTAGCACAGAATCAGTGCCCTAGAAAGGAAGAAGACAGGCAATGTGAGTCTAGGTCAGGAGTTTATAATTTAGTTTATACCCGGTAAGAACTAAACAGCAACATTTGTCTGTCGTCCCTTACTGGCTGGGTCATCATGAACACCTTAATGTCTCTGAATTTGTTGCCTTGTCTCTTAAGTTGGAATATTATTTCCTGCTCAGCGCTTCTCTGAAGGTCAAACAAGGCATGCACTTTTTATACCGATGAGAAAAGCTAGCCTTTAATAAATGCTTATTAATAATAAACAAATGTAGTTACCTTCACTCATATTGTGAATGTTATACTTGAACATTAGACACACATAGAAATATATACTAAATTTTAAATTCTGTGTGGTGAGGAAGAGGTATACGCATGAGAAGTGTAGGTGCCTGCAGAGGCCAGATGTGTCTGATCTGATTAGACTCCAACTTTAGGCTGGAGTCACAAGTGACTGTGAACAGTCCTACATGGACAATGGGATCCAAACCCAGGTCCTCTGCAAGAGTATTACCTGGTCTTAACCACTGAGCTAACTTCCAGGCACATTTTCTGAATTACTAAATAATCAAAGGAAAAGTCCATGCCCATACTGAATTATAAAAGAATAAGTAGTGAAAAGGAACAGTTTTACTGTTCTGTAAGCCTGGGACTCACGTGGCAAGCAAGAATCCTGCCTGTCTTGTCCACAGCAAGGTTCACAACTCTGTCCCTTCCTTCCCGCATTATGGAGCCAGCTTTTCTGCAAGAGAGGATGCGCTACAGAGGAAGCAAGAGAACATGGAGGTTAAACGTCTGTTCTGTTAAAGCTCTGAAAAGACATGAATTTAATATATACAGTGACAAAACACTCCCTAAAATGATAATTGGAGATGGTTATCCTTAAGTCTGTCCCTCTTGCCCTACTAACTCAGCCCAATTGAAGAAACAGTGGATTACATCTTCAGACTCTTCATCCGCTTCAAGGGTGCCATCCTCTGCTTCAGGTGCGTCCTGTATCCCCGGACTCTCTTTGATTTTCTTGGGCTCTGGTTCTTCTGGGTCATCAATCTATTTTAGAAAGATTGAAGAATAAAAATTTAAATGTCTCAGGGATGACTTTAAACCCAATGACCTAGAAGCCTCTCTTAGAACCATTTACATCTTGACTGGTGACCGCTGATACACTTCAATGTCAGGACAAGTTTCAGAATTTATTAGAAACTGGCATTATATATAATAAAACATTATTGATTATACTATCTCCACTGACTCTCCATAGTATGAGGATTATATATGAGTAAATAATAGTGTAAAAACTAATGACTCAACTCTTCCTTAACTTCAAAATTTTTTTTTGTAGGAAAAAAGATACTCTAGAGCAAAAGACTGCTGATGGTATTGGTACTGGGGAGGCAGTGTAAGGTGTGTTACAGTTTCTCCTTAAACACAAGAAGGAAAAAAAAAGCTAGTCTAAGACATATTAAACCCATTAGAATGGCTACTGGATCTATGGCTATACACTAATTCCAACTAAACACTAAACCTAAAGTTTAAAATCATCCCTACCTCAAAACACATGAATTGATAATCACTGTAATCACTCTCCTGAGAATATGCATCCTATATAGATTGTTGTTTGAAGAGAAAGTTCTCTAAAGTCCACCCGCACATGTCCAAAGGTCCAGGAATACAAGGCTAAAATGCTACAACCTAACCAACATTAATACAATGAGGAAGTCTTTGTTTAGAAGCATCAGGTCATCAATGGAAGAGCTCCTTCTAGTACATCTGATTCTATGTCAATGAGATGATCAACAGTGAAAGCATGCAACTGGCCATGATCTGAACACATTACCTCCTGCAGATAGGCGATGTCCCAGGCTCTCAGCTCACTGTCTGCAGCCCCAGTGATTAGCCGCTTTTCTTCTGAAACCAGAACCAAGCCCCACACCTAAGAATACAAAACAGTTTACATAACATCATTTTTTAATACTTCAAGTGGCATAATGAAGCACTGCAAATGATTACAGTCACTATAATGAAGTCTCTCTGGCATTTCAAATCTAAGAAAAAGTTTATTTAGGTGATCTTTCAAAATCCACTAACTGAAGCACTTTTCCAGTGGGGGAATGACCTGTGGTGAGACTGCTCATGGTACTAGGAATTTCTCTACATTCTGTTTAGCAATAGTTACTCATCACAAATCCTAAGCACAATCCACGATTCCAGGTCTCATATTGTTTTTACAATGCCTGGCAAATAAAAGGTGCCTTATTAATGTCCACTTCATAATTCCCAGCCTAGTATCCACGCATCTCTCACTAGCATCCAAGAATTAAATAGTGGAGATGCAGCAATACTATTACCAGTCAATTTTCACAGAATCCTCCTTCCACTTCATTATTATTTTTGAAAGCCTGACCTGACATAAAGGGAGGCAAAGATACTTAAAATATTCTTTGAACTTGGCTGAATAAATCTTGTTCAGGTAAACATAAAACTACCCTTTTATTGTATTATGCTACTGGGAAAGTTACTGTACCCATAATATCATTAAACACCTCTACAGTTGTGGCTATTTTTTGGTTGTCAACTTAACTACATCTGGAATTACCTAAACCTTAAATGACTGAGCACACCTGTGAGAGATTTTTTTTTCTTAACTAAATCATTTGAAGTGGAAAGACCCGCTTCTAATCTGGCTCTTTGAAATGGGAAGATTAACTAGCACCTTTAATCCTTATCTTTTGAGGTAGGAAATTGCACATTTAATCTGGCCGCAGCCTATATAAGTGACATGGAAGCTTGTTCTCTTTGCCTGCTTGCTCTCACTAGCAAATCCATTCCTTGAAAGGCACTAGTGCATACTTCTTCAGGATTCTGGTCTTTATGGAAGATCAGCTGAGACATCCAGCCTCACAGACTGAACAACTCATAGATGCTTGGGACCTTCCATTGGTTGACAGTCACTGTTGGAACTAGCTGGACCACAGCATATAAGTCATTCTAATAAATCCCCTTTCTATATGCATATATAGACTCATTCTATAAGTTCTGTTCCTATAGGGAACTCTAATATAACAGTCATGGGTGAATTTAATTATTTAATTAAAACAACAAGCTCAAAAGTTTTAAGTCACCCAAGGCTTAAGTGTGTAAGATCAGAAAAGTTACATCTGTCCAATGGCTGGCATTGCTTCTTCCCAGCCAACCTCACTGTCTCTCAAGACAGCACACAGATCAGTATGAGCAGTAAAAAGAGCCAGAGAAACCATCTTTTGATTTCTGCTTCGTGATGGGGGAGGGGGGTTGTCCTTCTGTGTATATGTTATTGGTTGTTAAATAAGACACTGTTGGCCAATAGGGCAGCAAGACAGTCAGGTCTAGGAGACCAGGAGAATTCTGGGAGATGTAGGCAGAGAGGAGTGTGATCCCAGGAAGAGAGCACAAGTCAAGTGTTCTTTGTTCTCCGGTAAGATAAGTACATGAAGGAATACACAGATTAGTAGTTAATAATTAAGACAGAGCTAGCCAATAAGAAGCCCTAGCCATCGGCCAACAGCTTTATAACTAATATAGCGTTTGTGTGTTCATTTGGGGCTGATGCAGCTATGGGACCAGGCTGGTGGGAAGAACCATCTGTAACAGCTTTGTCAGCGTTTCTGGAGCCCAAGACTCAACACGTACCTCAGTTCGGTGGCCGACCATTGTTTTGAAGCAGTGTTGGTTATCAAGGTCCCACCACTTTACCATAGTATCTTTCCCACTAAAAGAAAAACCAGAAAAGAATCTTATTAGGAAGAATCATTAAACTAACAGGGATGTGAGCAACTCATTTGTTGTTTTAGAATAATACAGCAGTAATGCTGGAAGCTATTCTATCTGACTGTCCTGATAAGCCAAGAATTCCAACTCTCCATGTGGCTGCTCTTCTATGAAAACAGGAGCTTCACTCCTACACACAGAAGTAGCTGAGCTACAGAACACACACAACCCATCTGCCTTCCTCCCACCTCTTCATTTTACAGCACTGGCATTCTGTTAACACGGAAACATCTGAGCCCTTCAGCTCCCTTGTCATCCAAACCATCAGCTCCTCCGCACTGAAAACACCTCCTCCGTGTGGACACCTCCTCTGGGTGGTCTCTAATGTTAGACGCCTAAGTCACAGCTGTCAAAACCTGACCGTTTCCTCCAATCTGCATTATTCAGTAGCTTCTCACGAGGTCTCTTTGTCCACTGCTGGTTTTCTATTCCCCAACACTGAGGTAACTTAGTTTTCAAGTTTATCAATTTAATGTTCTTCACTTAGAATCAAGATGAGGCTCTTCTCACATCATCCTCAAAGCCCGCTTCTTCTTATTCCCCTGATTCAGATGTTTCCCCACCCCTTGCCAATAGGAAACAAATCTTCACTGGGACATGGCCTGGGGCGCTTCAACTCTTTCTGAGCCACTACAATAGCTCTTGTAATTACTGCCTGACAAACCTTATGATCCTAGTCTTTCCTGAGTGAACTTCTTGCAGACAGTGATTATATTAGGCTGAGCCATATGAAACTGACAATATTTGATCACTTTTGACATAACAAAAATAAAATTTTCAAAGGTTCAACCTAACAGATGTTGATTATGCCTATGACACACATTTTTCCTCAAAAGGCAGGCTGAACTAAACACATAGCTTAGCAATCTGCCTCCCTGACTTCTAGGGATCCAGAAAATAAATGCCCACTCTACAGCAGAGTCAGAAAAGAAAGAAAATTTCAAAATGCTGTAAGTCACTGCAAAACTCTAGCATTTATGACAGGCAGAAAGGGGAAGAGCTGGCAGCCTAAGAGGAAGCACACCAACATGCAAGCATGAGCACATCAGGGAACAGCAAGCAATGTGGCAACTCCTCTTCAAAGCTCTGAAATTCATGTCTTTACCTCGTAACCAGCAGATTCCTTTCTCGTAAGAACAGAGCTTGTGTGACAGCATCCTTGTGTCCCTTTAGACGGTAGAGGCCACTTTCATTGATCACATCCCAAATAATAACATCTGTATCCTTAGGGATAAAGCAACACATAACAAAAATCACTCTCTTAACCATGAAAGACCAAACGTCATAAATAACGGGACTCAATCACCACAAAGGAAATATACCATCCTGTACAACTTGGAAAGCAGCTCAGGCAGCAGCCTATGCTTTCATCCAGGAATAATGAGGAGAGACTTTGTTTTACACTGCTCTAGTTGTAGATACATGAGATCTCAGGCTATTTTCTTATTAGAAAATAGATCTCTAGGTATCTATATGGCTGAAGGGCCCTGTAATCCCAGCTACGTGGGAGGAAAGCTGGACAGTCCAGTGAGACCCCACATCAAAAACACAAAACAAAATAGAGGAAAACAGAGTTCATGCTATGTATTTAGCTTATAATCATCTTTTTTTTGTTTGTTTGTTTTTCAAGACAGGGTTTCTCTGTGGCTTTGGAGGCTGTCCTGGAACTAGCTCTTGTAAACCATGTAAACCAGGATGATCTCGAACTCCTAGAGATCCACCTGCCTCTGCCTCCTGAACGCTAGGATTAAAGGCGTGCGCCACCACCGCCTGGGTTATAATCATCTTATTTAATGCATTTTGATAGTTAATTCTGCTATAATTTCCAGTATCACAATATAAATGTTATACATATGGGTCATTTCCAATTTTCTGTAACCCTGAACTTCCGATCTTTAGCCTATGACAAGTTTATATAGTACTAGGGACCAAAGCAAGGATTCCTATATGCTAGGCAAGAATTCTACCAACTGGGCCATGTCTCCACCCCTAATGCTAATTTTTCCCATGACCTGTGGTTAATAATGAACACCTTCATTGCTTTAGAACTGTTCACTCGTGTCTTCTTCATTGACATTATCTCTTACACTGTATTTTATATGTTATTTTACTAAAAGTCCAATAGGTAGATAGTCTTTTATTAACTACTTTCCCTTCTTTTTATACTTTAAAGATGTAAAAAAAAATAATGGCTTAAATTTATATTTCAAATCTATCAATCTTTTCTTCTTTGTGTTTTTATTTTTTGAGAACCTCATACAAAATATTTTTATCATATTTTCCCCTCAACCTTCCCAGCCACCCAACTTCATGTTCTTTTTCCCTCCTTTAAAAACCAAAAATAAATATTAGAGTCTGATTTGTGCTGGCCATCTAGCCATGAGCATGTAGCCTGCCTGAAGCATGGTTGATACATTCACTGCACTAAAGAACTGATTTCCCTCTCCCAGTAGCTATGAATTCCAAATAGCTAACTTCTCCTCCTCCTGTGCTGAGCAAACAATGTTTTTTTCTTGGAGTGACAGTCACAACTGTGCATCCCTGGAGGTGGTAGCCTCACTGACTGCCTTCAAACTCACAAATACAGGTGCCCATCTCTTTTACCTGTTAGGAATAAAAGTGTGTGCCGGCATGCCTGGCTCTACTCATTAGCTTTTAAAAACATAGGAATGATAGTAAGTTTGCAGAATTCATTGGCGAATTATTACCATCTTCCTTTCTAATCTCCCTTGTTTGGGGTAGCTCTTCCACAATACGATAGGTTCCAGAGTACCTCTGTCTTATTCTTTTATTGCATAGACTTTTCTCCCCTCATGCATACATATTTTCCTCACTCTGTTTCCCCCAACTGTATACTAGCTTGAACATTGAGAATCTAGTTTCATATAACAACCTATGTGAATAACCTGCTTCTATGTAAGTGTGAAAACAACTCTAGACACCTGTCTCTGAGGCTCACCTTGGACCCAGAAGCCAGTCTGCCTCCTAGCTGATCGTACTTTAAGCTGGTGATAGCTGCTTTGTGTCCATTGAAGGTTATATTTCCTTCACCACTGAGGAGGCTGAAGATTCGGATGGATCCATCCTCATAGCCAACAGCCAGATGTAGCCCATCTGGGGAAGGACACAAGCAAGTGACTTCTTGTTTAAGCCCCTGAAGGATAAGGATCTGAAATCACAAAAATCAAAACCAATGCAGAAGAGTGAGGCATGTATCAAAACACCAGAGTGGGAATGATTTCAGTAATACAGTGAGTACCAACAATTTACAGTCACTGAGGTACAATGATAAAACCCTATCAGCAAAGACAATGATATCCTCAAAAGGTAATCATTTCCTCCCAAGCCTGACACTGATATACACATGCAAATTATCCAAGCAATGAATTAAGTTACCAAATTTCTCTCCTAGTGAATTTTGGTAAAGGGCTATAAACCCATCCTTGTTTTAACACAACCTCATGGCACTAGAGTACTAGTGGTTTCATCCCAAGAGGCTCTGGGTACCAACAAATATCTATCTATCATCTATAAATCTGTCTTTCTATCTATCTTGGGAGTCATACAATAAATAGGGATGAATCAAATATTTCTGTGTGCTTAGCAAAAAGGAATGACTTCAGTCACAGTCAAAGCAAGTTCTGGGACTGCTGGATCTCATCGGCATATGTAAGAAAAAGATTCCACTGACACAGTAGAGTAACAGTCTTTTTTAAATCCTAATATTTTACAATTGCCTGTGTGCACAAGCAGACTTTGAAAGGTAGAACCTGTACACAAAAGTAAAAATGAATAAGAGCTACAACTCAACTAATGACCTATGAATAGTCACACAAACAGACATCTAAGAAGCTAGCTCCTGTTTGGCTGTGGTTTTCAGAACACAGCAGAATTTGGTGCTAGCTGTCTAGAAATAAAGGGGATGGTCTCTTGAGGGCTCACATACAAATTAATGCAGGCAGGCCAGTCAAGGCTCTTCCACTCCAAAATTAGTGTCAACTTACTCATTTCTGACTCACCTTCTCTCCTTTTCTCAAGTCCCAGATAAAAACATGTTCGCAAGCGGGTACTGCCACATAGCGTCCTTTTTCTCCACGAAGTGTCACAAAAACAATATTACCCTTTTGGCTGCCAATCAAGCCAAAGACAGCACTAGCCACATATCGGAGATACTGTTTGGTAAGTCCCATGTTAGGATGTCTGAAGCCAGCAGGAAGGCAATCTATGTATAGAAACAGAATTCAGTCTTTGGAGTATACTGGCTCTGGAGGGCTAACAAACATAACCACTTTTCGTATGGCCAAAAGCATATAACTTGGCTCATGGTATATTATCTGCTATACAAGCATGGTCCCCAGAACCCATACAAAAAGCCAGGCCCAGAACAATGTGTATACAATCCCAGACACATGAGAGTGGCAACACCTTCCAAAGTCCACTGTAGCTCTCTTGCCCCATGTTTACAGCCTGAAGACTGCTCCCCTACAGACTGTTCCTATTGAAATTAGATAAACATGCCGCCTTATTCGGCTGCGTAGAACCCTGACTCCTTCTTTATCTGTATGTAATAAACCCCTTCTTCCTGTTTAACTGTATGTAATAAACACGCTGAGCTTCTGGGGTGTTTCGGCTTCTCCATCCAAGAGTCCAGACCACCTGATCTCAACTTTTCTGTATGTATGTTAGTATGTCTGGTTTTTCTTCATCCCCTTGTTTCCCAAAGTCAGGATGCCAGGGCCGAAGCCACACAAGGTCTGGGCAACCATGTCTCAAGAAATGAAACAGACACTCCATGTCAACTTCTAGTCTATACACACAGACACACCCTCTACATACATGTACTTAGGTAAACACATACATATGCACATCCAACAACATGCAACTTGTGGATTTATTTTGAGTGAATCACTGCCCTTAACATGTAATCCAGTCACGTCTTGAATCTTAAACTGTTTACACTGTCACAATCACCCCATGAATACCTAACACAAAGCTTCATGGCAGCCATACAATTCTCTTTTGCCCTGTCAATCACTATCAAAGTTCTGACACTGAAGCTGTTAAGCTGACACTGAATGGTTTCACCAATGATTACTGTAAACATGCCTTCATTTTCCCCCCATGGAAAGCTAAATTAAGCCAATAAACATGAAGGAAAGGGTTAAGAATGTAGCACAGCTTGCCTAGCATACTAGAGTCTGAGAATTGCCAGCACTGGGAAGGCAGATGGTCTCAGAAATTCAAGATCACCTTCAGTTGCATAAGGAGTCCAGGGCCAGTTTGGGCTACATATGAACCTGTCACCCTATCTCAAAAAAGAAACAAAGCAAAAATAAACAAAGAACCCCCCTCAACCCTCAATTCTTCTGCAATTATTTTTATTCCTCCAGCTTAGCTGAAGATGCTCATCAAATACCCTTCTGCAGTATTTAAGTAGAGAACCCATATAGCATGAAGCCTGGGGATTCCCACATCTGTTTCTAGTTGTGTCCAGATCCATGACTACCTACTTCCTAAAACCCTCATATTATTTTACTTTAAAACACACCATCTCCCCAACTATCAGGGTTTAAAACTTTCAAATAACCTTTGACTCAAAAACAAACAAACAAACAAACAAACAAAAACACCAAAACAGTAGCAAGGCTTAGAGTTACGGTACAGTAAATGATTTATTGAGCATAACACATGTAGTTCTTTAAATTCATGCAGTAACTGCATCAGCAGAAGCAAAGACTAGAAAAGTGTCTAGTGCATTGCAAACGTGCACAAAAAGTCTCTTCAAATTCTTACCTCCATTTTACAGACAAGAGTAATTAACAGAGACGCTGAATAACTAGCTCAAAATCAACCGGAAGCATCAAAGCCAGGCTGCAGTGTAGCCAATCTAACATCCAATTTTTCTGCTTCTAATCGCCACGCTAAACTCGTCTTTGCTGTCTGTCATCTCCTTTGACTCTTTACCTGAATAGTATCCGTTTTTCTCTTCGCCGCACTTTCACTCCCAGCTTGTCATTACCGAGTTGCTGCACTACGTTTCTACCTAGTACTTGCACTGCCGTGTGTTTCATTCGAAGTCGCAGTATCGCTCAAACTCACCGTTTTCAAAAGCACTGATCCTACCCAAGGGCTTTAAACGGCTAAGCGGTTCGCCAAATGCAGCGGTTCACAGGGACCCAGTTACTTTAGCAAGCTGCTTGTTGCTGAAATAACTTCTCCGGTTTCCCTTCCTCCTACCTCGTCATTCTCAAATTATTTCCTTGCCTACTTAAGTTCCTAATGCACACCACCCTCCCCAAACCCTCAGGAAAGTAGGGTAGTTCCGGGGACCTCGCACTAGCCGGCCCAGGAGCAGCCGTGCGGACTACGGGTTCTGCGATGCAAATGACCGCGGAAACAGGACTCCCCCGCCCTCCCGGCTCCCCCAGCACGGAGTACTACGCCGCGTGGGTCCATCCAGAGAACCTCAGCGCAGGGAAGGAACCAAGCCCCGCAATCTCCACGCCGCCAGCAACACTCACCTCAGCCTCCACGAGGCTCCAGCCGACAGCACCGCCCACGGGACCCGCCCCTTCCGATCCGGTCGGGTGTTTCTTCCGCCCGGCGTTCCTCTTACCTTCTAGGGCGGAAGTGACGGCAGAACGCCGTGATTGGGCGGCGTGGCCAAGAGGAAGCGGGTACCTTTGCTGTCAGAAAGCTGAAGCTAGTCATCCTGGCCTCTGGAGACCCCCTCCCTCCAGCCTCCGCCTCTGGCAGTCGTCGTGTGCCGATGTCACCTGCCTGCCTTCTGCGACGGAGCTGAGCTGCCGGCCGCCGCCCGGATGGGCCCGCCCGAGCGCCGTGAGAGGCGGGCAAAGCCGGGAGGGGAGGGCGGCACGGCGGGGCGCGGCGGCTGGGAGGAATCGGGCTGGTGTGTCAGGTCGGCCTGGGCTTTGGGGCTCGCCCCCAGGCCAGGTTTGGGTGTGGAGCTCGGAAGCGCTCGTCACAGGATGCCGGGACACGAGGTGTGGCGGGCAGCCCTGCGGGTGGCAGCTCAAGTCAAGTCTAGCCCACCCTGTAGATTGCGCCCGCTGTGACAGGCTGACGCTGAGCCCAGGATGCTGAGTTGTCCAGGGACCCCGCAGTCCCTGGAGTGACATTGGCCTGGCTTTGTGTTTCCGCTCTTAGGCCACTTGAGGGGGAAGTGACCCTGGGCTGGCCCGTCCTTGATCGTGGACCGAGACGGAGCCGCTCTGTTAACAAGAGGGAATTAGCTTTTTCTCTCTTGCGCTTCTGCCCTCTTCCATCCTTGGACTGTCTAGAAGTTTTAGAATGAGCTCTGATGTCTGTAGCTGTCTGTATAGAACTGAAGCAGGCATATAGCTATCAAAAGAAGTATCTCCTGCCGTCGCTTATTGAACAAGCCCTCAGTAGCCAGCCTAGAAATTACACAGGTAGGCAAGTGTAGTTGGCAGGTAGATTTGTCTTCCTGCTTAATTTTCAGGAGTTGTTTACCAGGTATAGTTGTCTTCATATTTTAAAACATGTTCAGCTCCGTCTGTATTTTTAAAAAATTGTTTTAGCGGAGACACATATATGTCGTTGTAGCAGCTTAGGTGTCTTTGAAACAAGAATACATTTGTTGTGAGTTGGATGAATGAGAAGGCAAGACATTGTGGCGATAGATTTATTTCAAGCAGGGAGGAGCATTTGGATAGGTGTGCATGCTCCCTACCTCCCATAGATGCTGTGCATTACCTTGTCCATAATTTTAACCCCAGCACTCAGAAGGCAGCCTAGTCTAGATATGGAGCTAAGCTAGCACATTTCCCCCGCTTCCAGATAGGTTCTCACAATGTAGCCCTGAATGTCCTGAACTCTCTGTAGACCAGGCTGTCCTTGAATTCACAGAGCCCTGCCTCTGCCTACCAAGTGCTGAGATTTAAGGCATGCACTTCCAGGACAGGCTAAAATAGCACTTTTTTTTTTTTTTTGGTTTTTCGCGACAGGGTTTCTCTGTGGCTTTGGAAGCTGTCCTGGAACTAGCTCTTGTAGACCAGGCTGGCCTCGAACTCACAGAGATCCGCCTGCCTCTGCCTCCCGAGTGCTGGGATTAAAGGCGTGCCCCACCAACTCCCAGCAAATAGCACTTTTTTTTTTTTTTTTGGTTTTTCGAGACAGGGTTGCTCTGTATTGTTTTGGAGGCTGTCAGTCCAGCCTGGCCTCGAACTCACAGAGATCCGCCTGCATCTGCCTCCCGAGTGCTGGGATTAAAGGCGTGCCCCACCAACGCCCAGCCAAATAGCACTTCTTAATCTTACTCATTTTCTTATCCATTACTCCAAGGACAGAAGCTTACATTCTTATCTAAGCTTCAGATTGCTCACTGTATGAAGACTTGCAAACTGAAGCATGCTTGGTTTGTATAATGCCTACATGGCACTGCTAATTCACCATTAGAGCATACATTTTGAGGGTTTTTGAATGATGATGTTAAAATTTACCTGGGACCATGTTGTAATGTGTTTATTGTTAACTATATTTGAGCATTGACACTTTTTCATCTGAGCAGCTTTCTATTTGCATAAAATAACTCTTCAAGTATAATTGATTTGGCACAGGGATGGGTGTGGTATGTATGTTCACTGTTATATATCATGAACTTTTAAATATTGAAATACAAAGCCGTAAAGAGTAATAAACCTGAAATCAATCAAAAGCAACAAACAAGCGGCTTAGAGGTCAGATGCCTGGTGCAACTCTATGACTTTCCAGATCTGTCTCATCTGTATAAACAGTTATTTAACAGGCAGTTTGCCATCTTAGAGATTCTCACTTTTCTTTTTGAAACTATACCATCCTTTTTTAATTTAATTTTTTGAGACAAGATTTCTCTACATAGTTCTGGCTATCCTGGAACTATCTGTGTATTCCAGACTGGCCTCAAACTCACAGAACTCCACCTGCCTTTGCCTTCTGAGTGTTGGGATTAAAGGCGTGGGGCACCATTCCTAGCTTGATTCTATTCTTACCTGTTTGAAAATTAGGTTTTGAAGCAGGGCGGTGGTGGCTCACGCCTTTAATCCCTGCACTCAGGAATGATAAGACCAGAGGATCCTTGAAGTAAGTTTTTTGGCTGAATCTCTGAGATCCAGGTTTAGTGAGAGACCATGTCTCAAAAGTAAGTTGAATGAGCAACTGAGGAAGGCACCTGCTGTTGACCTCTAACCTCCATTCACATGCTTACACATGTCCATGTATACATATAATGTACACCACTCACACAACATGAACAAGAGAGCCAGGCCCAGTGGTACAGATCTGAAGTCCCAGCTACTCAGGAGGCTGAGGCAGGAGACTCTGGCTTCAAAGCCTGTGTGAGCTCCAGTGAGCAAGGTGAGGCTGGGAAACTTAGGATGCTCCCTCTCAAAATAAAGAATAAAAAGAGGGCTGGAGACATAGCTTGGTGGTAGTGTTTGCTTAGCATGCCTGAGACCCTAGGTTCAACCCCAGTACCACCAAACAAGGGGGGAAAGTGAGGAGACGTTTCTATGTTCTGAAGAAGAAATGGGGGAGGAAGGATTTTCAAGAGTAGGAGGATTAGGAGAAGAGAGAGGAAGATGCTAAGAGATAATTGATGTTATTCTTGTGAAGGGCAGCTGGTGAAGTTCTTGAATTAAGGCCTTTTGGCTGACTTAAGCATGCAGAATATGCCCTGACATCGCTCAGAAATTGGAAAAGTGCATGAAGATGGACTTGGAACTGGAGAGGAGTTAGTGGTTTGAGCAGCAGGAAGAGAAGAGAGCAAAAGGAGTAATGGGCCAGGACCAGCATGCGCTGGATGTGGCTTCAGTGTCCACATGGTAGTTACAGATCCTTGGGCTGGTACTGTAACTCTTGAATTTGAAACAAGAATCTTGGTACCTGCTGTATGGGAGCATTGTAAAGATTAGAGAGCATATTTATAACATGTCCTCTGTACTTGTCACATTCACTGGGAACTCAGTAATGCCCGAAACTCTCATGTATAGCTCTCTGTGTAAGACTCTCCTGCTGTTTTTGGTCTTACCGCCACTTTCCGAAGGCAATCTCTGCTTCTCTTGTCTAAATTAGCCCCTGCCTCCCATTGGTCATAGCACATTTACCACACTGTTTCTGTGATTTTATGGCTTTGTCTCTTCCATCACTCTTGAATAAATGAATGCCTGGAAAGTAATAGACCAAGAAACATTTACTTTCTCACAGACTTTACAGGTCAGGAATTCAAAAGTAGCATTGCTGCATTGTTCCGTGGTTCTGATTCAGTATCTTTTATAAGGCTGCAGTGGAAACACCAGCTGTGGCTGGAGTAGCTTTAAGGCCAGGGGTTCCACACTTCCATAGTGCTTTGGAAGACTGTGCATGGTGTTAGCTTTTGGTGGAGACCCTCTGTTCCTCCTCCAGGCGGAGGCTAACATCATCAGAGCACAATTAGAGAGAGAGGGCAAGGTAGGGCCACAGTGCCCTTTCTAACTGTCTTTGGAAGAAGCTACACTATCACATATCACACTTTGTCCTATCTTCTTGGTTACATAGTTTAGCCCTGAGTTGCGCAGGAAGAAACTGTGCAGTGTGGGTGCCAGAAGGTGAATGTCATAGAAGGACATTGTAAAGATTCTCTTTGCAGGTGCTGTTCTGAGTCACTTGGAGTGATGATGTGAGTGAGTAAAGCAGTACTGTTGGTGATGTAGGAACATGCAGTGACGTGAACGGGTAAAGCAGCTAATGTAGGAATGTGCAGTCAAGATTGCAGACTGTGCGGGTTCTTTCCCCTCGTGGCATTGGAACAGATGTTGGGTTGTTTAGGGATTAATTAACAAGACATGGCAAGGGAAATCATGACATCAAGATCTGTAAGACTGTAACTTAGCTCAACATTTAACTTGCATGGTGATTTGACAGTTAGTACTTTTGTGTCTTTGCTGCACGTGGAAATATGACTTCATCTTGACTGGTTCCACTGACCCTAAGGACCTCTTAAGAGGTAATTCACTGTGCCTTGCTTTGTGTCAGGTGCTCTGCTGTGTGGGTTCCGCGCAGTTGGTTGCATTAGTCTTCCCAATAAGCCTGGAGTTAACCACCACTGCCTAGATAGAAACTCTAGCTTTGCCCCAAGGATCACAGCTGCTCGCAGACTGTGAGTCAGGGATCCGAACTTAGGCCTTGACGCACAGTGGCTCATGACTTGCATTGTGTCACCTTGCACTGTTTCACTGTGTAATTGAGTGTGGACATAATCACCTGACAGTCCTTAAGCTAGGTTGAAAGTTATGCACACAATATGATTTTACCTCTATCATAGGGGAAAAAAGGAGAATGAATGACAACAAATTTGAGATTTTTTTTCATTTAACTTTTTGTTAATTTTCAAATGTTCTAGAAGCA